TGCAGTCTAGTTTAGCCAAGCAAGCCGAAGTGAAGTAATTGTGGGCTTATTCCGTTTCGCGACAACCAAATAGTCGAACCCCCTCCGTAGCAGTTTGCGCAGAATACAACCTACCAAGGAGCAAAAGTGAACTACAATCAGCGTTTGGACTTTGCAGCGCGGATTTTGAGCTGGATGAGCTGGTGCTTTGGGCGCGCAACGCCTTTGTCACAGCTGCTTGGTTGCGGAGATTGTCTGCTGTTCTGCGCAGCAGTCACACTAGAAAAGGCGTTTGGTTTTTTTAATTGGTGCTTTTGGCACACGGTTTCAGGCCTTCCGTTGCCTTCAACAAGGGCTTGCAAATGCATAGCGTGCCTTGCAGCCTTTGGCGAACCGATTGCGTCACACTCTTTGGAGGTAGCCGTGAACCGAAGTCTTGGCTGTTCGAAGGCAAGCTTAGCCTTTACTTTTGGTCAAGGACAGCCTGGGAATTCCAAGCCTCCGTATCGACTAGAAAGCCTAGGCTTTGAAGCTGCTTTCCGATGTCAGAAGGGGATGGCCATCAAACCTGTCACTAGGAGTTTTAGACACCATCATAAGGGACCATGGCCCCACAAGGAATTGTGCTAAGGCACACCACAGCCTTCCATGTTGACCCAAGCGAGGGGTAATCGTGTGACGCAGGACCAGAAGACAACGTATGCGCGCCTCGCAAGTTTCTTCACACGGGTGTCTCAAAATGGAGACTAAAATGTCTTTTTGGCTCCCTTCGTGCCCTGCCAAAAATCACACTGCCAGATTTACAGCGAACGCCTTGATGGCCCGTGTTCCCTCGGCGTTTGCGCAGTGTTGTTGGTCATGAAGACATGCTTGTTTACTGTCTAGACCGACCTAGCACACGATGACTGGCAGAACTGTGTTCGGCGCCAAGCAAAAGTTGGGCCCGGAGTTATTGCCAAGATGGCGATGGGGGACTACCCTTACGCGCAGGACCTCTTTGGCCAAGGCTGGGAAGATGAGTTGCAAGACAACATTTTCGCCAGTTGAAATAAGTTGAGAAAGTTGCCGAACTTTACCAAATACACCATTGTCTACTTGACAAACGGGTTCCACTTTGCGCCAATGGCAATGCGCGTAGCATCCCGGAGCACACGCGATAGAATCCATCTAGAGTCGCGCTAATAAGGTTCTTGTCAAACCAGAAGGATATGGCCAAAGTAGTTTGCTGTTTACATGCTCTTCAACAAGGCGGTTTGCTGTTTCCAACTTGTGTCTCCTTGCAGCGTTCTTGTTGCACATGTTTCCTTGCTGGTTCCAACAACGGGTGGTTGTTGTTGGTTTCGTGTTTGCCTCCGTTTTTGCTTTCTTTGAAGAACGATGCGGTTCAGCATGTTTCAGGGATTTGTTGCCACCAGCCTTGGGCCAACCCCTCGTTTTGTGTGTAAGCCACCGTTCTTCAAACAACTACCTTTGGGTTTCCTCTTAAACGGGGCCAGCGAGTGGTTGGTCCAGCAATTTTGCAGAACCTGGGCAACCTTGGAGGCTTACCGGCCTGGCCCCTTCGCAGGGCCTGCCGTTTGCTGAGCGAGACGCAGCTTTCCGCGCCGAGGGCGCTGGGAAAGGCTGTTGGGTCGTACTACAATGCCACAGGCAGGGGATTGCCTCTAAACCGCTTGCCAGGAACAAGAACTCGAGTGGTACAGACGGCTTCCTATGGGCAAATGGAGGCGTAAAACCACTTGTTGTTGGTTTTCCCCTTCCCTTTGTTAAGTTGCAGCGTGTTATCAAGCTTTGAACCTGTTTGCGTGAGTTTTCTGGAACAAGTTTGCACCACTGCCGCGGTTTCTAGGTACTAACGAGCAACTCCTTGGGTTTTAGAAGCTTTTTGCAGTGTTGCTCCAAGCTGGTTGGTTTCCAGCCCCTGATGGTCGCTTTGGTTCCACAGGAGGGGTGCGATGTCACAGCATCTCCGCAGAGTACCGGGACTGCGCGGACCAGACGGGCTGCGGCGCCGGCGCTTCCCCGTGGGGCCGCGCCTGGGATGCGGAGGCCTGCCGGCAGATCGTGTACTTCACCCCCACGGACCGACGCCGGGGGGGCGGACGGGCGGACGCCGGGAGGGTCGGGGGCGGGGTGTTTCGGTTTTGGGGGGGACGGGCAGGTGCGAAGAACAGCGCTTTAGGTGTGTCAAAATCCAGAATACAGGGGGAGGAGGGGGGGGATGCTTGGGGGGGGGGGGCGGCGCGGGGGATTTCCCTTATACACCAAACGCAACAAGCGCACCCTCAAAAAACACGAGCAAAGATAAACAGACAACCGCAAACGCAAGCACAAACCACAAGTCGCAAACGGGCGAACTGATTTCAGCAAACGAAGGGTGAACATTGGTGTTTGAAGGGTCAACCTCAATCAACAATCAAATGGTCAACGACACCAAGGTGAAAGGACCGAGCTATTTTAGTGGTTTTGAACATCACTCTTTAGGAGCCCTGGCGCCTGGGGGCGACCCGCACCCGCTCGCCTGCCAGCAATCGAGGTACGTTATTGCAAGTAAATTGATCCGCAGGGTTTGCATTTCGACCTACTTGTAAGGTTTGGGGAAGCAGCTGGAATTAGATATGATAGGCCCCATTCATGTTCAGAGGTCGTGGAAATTGCTTGGCGCTTAGGCATGTGTTCAAGCAGCGCACGTCCATGTCGAACACATTCTTTGGCTCACGGTGTAGCTGTCTAGAGAGAGGTGTCCGCTGTTAATCCACGAAAATGTTTGAGCTCAAGCGTTCAACTCACCCCATTTGCCCGCTCTTGTTCACACATAAAAGAACCATGGGGCCTTAATCCTTTGCCACGGCCTTTTTTGGGAAGGTAGATAAATCCTGGGAGGTATTCGGGAGAGGTTTGAGGTTTGAACTCTTGGCTTGGATTCTTCGGACTCAAATCTAAATCGGAGCCAGACCCTCAATCCTGGGATTCAGGCCATCCATGATCCTCACCAATCCACAGATGTCAATTCCAAACTTGTGTGCGCATCCTCTTTTTGGGCGTCCCGTTAAGCAGCTGGCCGTTGGGGTCGACCCGCGAAAGCGGCGCGAGGACAACGTCACGGACATGTTCCCCCCGCGGCCCTGGGGCCCCGAAGAGCTCGGGAGCTACTGCAAGAAGCACTGGGATATCCAGCCGCAGAGTGAGTGGTTCCGTCCCTGGTGGCGCCCTGGCATCGCGCTGGGGAGAGGTGTTCCGGAGAAGCCGCCTTTTTGCCAAGGCAACTTTGGCCGCGGCGGGGATGTATTGTAGTTGGGGATGTACTGGTTGCTCCAAAAGTGCCAGAAAAACCCGGAAGATGGGGTCAACAGTGAATGATTGAGCAACCTGGTGTGTTGTTTTATTGTTTTTGTAAGGAACTTGATACCTCCGAACACGAACTTTAGTTTCATGAATCCAGTGTTCCACAGAGCCAGCACACCAGAAGTCATACCGTGTGTCTGAACAAGCATGTCCATCCTCAAACAGTTGGAGTTCATGTGTGTGTGTGTGTGTGTGTGTGGGTGCGTGCGTGCGTGCGTGCGTGCGTGGGTGGGTGGGTGGGTGGGTGGGTGGTGTGGGTGGGTGTGTGTGTGCGGCGTGCGTGCGTGCGTGCGTGCGTGCGTGCGTGCGTGCGTGCGACCATCTCCTGTGTGCTGCCTGTCTGTGTGTCTGTGTGTCTGTGTGTCTGTGTGTCTGTGTGTCTGTGTGTCTGTGTGTCTGTGTGTCTGTGTGTCTGTGTGTCTGTGTGTCTGTGTGTCTGTGTGTCTGTGTGTCTGTGTGTCTGTGTGTCTGTGTGTCTGTGTGTCTGTGTCTGTGTGTCTGTGTGTCTGTGTGTCTGTGTGTCTGTGTGTCTGTGTGTCTGTGTGTCTGTGTGTTTGCGTGTCTGTGTGTCTGGGTGTCTGTGTGTCTGTGTGTCTGTGTGTCTGTGTGTCTGTGTGTCTGTTTTCTGCCAGGGCTCTCTGCATCCTTGAATCGCAATAGCAATGCGTGAGACTTGGAGTCTCCTTCAAAGAGTCACTGTATCGAAAGGTGTTAATGTTTTCTCTAGGTGAGCATGGTGTTGCTCAAAACGGTGGAAAGGTGCGGGTGTTTGAAATAGGCCAACCAACGATTTTAGCGGCTCAATATGTTTTGGAGAAACTGCCATAGTTGGAGTTCGCGGCTGCATTCCTTTTGGTCCGGTCTCTGGGCTCAGGTGGCATGCGTGAAGTTGTGTTCATTGTCTCCCTGGGCTTTTGGTTGCAACCGCAGATTCAGAGACTTCTCCATTATTGCTGAGTACTCACAGGGAGGAAAAGCGGTGCGTTGTTTTTGAGGGGCATGCAATGGTCATACCTGGGATCTTGATATTGGTAATGACTCCCTCTGTTGTTTGTTTTGTGTGTTTCTGGGAAGTGTTGGTTACAGTACGACCTAGCCGGGGCTCATGGTTCGGACAGTTGAAACTTGTTTTGGTTTGGCGATCACAATCCACCCAGAGCAACTCAGAAGATGGATGGCCATGCGACGTTTGGTCAGTTTCACCTAGGAACCAACCCTTGTTCGAGGGGGTGCCCCTTTCAGATCCTTCACTGGTGGGGAGGGGGGGGGAACACCCCCTGATCCGACAGCTTGCTGACATCCGGGTGCGAACAAGGTTTTAAACAACCAGGCCCCGGCACCCTGAGCAACAGAAAGTTACTGTGTGAAAGTCGGCACCCTGAGCAACAGAAAGTTACTGTGTGAAAGTGGATGGCGCAATTCCCCCGGATTTTTTGGTTCGGTCGTATGGGAGCTGAATGGCCCCAGGTCTGCCGTGGAGAAGAGTAGCCGCATCATCTTCACCAACGGGCTGAGTGACCCTTGGCGCGGCGGAGGTGTGTGCAGACCTCAGTTGCTGAAGGGGGACAAAATGAAGACTATAGGGCTCGGTTGAAGTTCCATGGCACCTTCCCATGGCATATGTCCCTTTCTTCCTTTTTTTCATTTTGGGGTTGCCAAAATGAGACAGACCTTTGGGTATGTGTAAGGCGCCGCTTTGGGAAGGCTTAGAAAGGAACCGTTTGGAGGTGTTTCAGGTGAACTGTTACGTTGCAAAAGCGGCTTCCAGCAACTACTCGAAACTACGTAACCATTTGGATCTGTATTTTTGAGGGAACACCTTCTTGGAGGTGGTTTTCTGGGAGCCTAAAAGGAAAACCGCAATTACGGGGGTTCCCCCAATTTTGGTCAAAACACATACTCATAACTCATAAACCATCAGAAGAGTGTCTCATCGCATACCCAAAGTATTCTAGTGACTAGTATGAAACTTGCATACCCTATTTTCAACTTCATATGCTCAGTTGAACAAGGGTTCCCCAATATTCTCGGACACAAATGCACATCCCATACAGTGCTTCACAGAACTTCACAGTGTCCCTTTTGCAAGTGCCCAGATTGAGGAAAGTTGGGTGCCACTTTCTGTGGCAAGAGAATCCCTTTGCGGGATCGAGCCCTTTGGTGTCACAAGGGGCAACAGAGACTCCACCTCTACTTGTCTTCAAGTCAAAAGCATCACTGGCCATGTGATTTTTGTTTTGAGGGGTACATGAAATCATGACAAAAGCGCTTGGGTGGAAAAATCCAGGGCCCAGGACGCACCCTTCTTTTTTTAAGAAACACTGCGCGAGGTTGGAGTCCCTGTCCAGCACCTTGGTGGCCCTCCACGTCTTGGGGGGAGCCCACATCTACGACCTCGCGGCCTCACACCCGCAGGATCTGCCGGCGGTGCGAGACGTCAGGCGTGAAACCCAAACGTTGCGAAGCCAGCAAACATCAGGATTGGCCAAGGCTCCATGTGGCCATAGGGCAGAACCTATGGCGATCCCATTTTGGGGTGGATGAACATCCATTTGCCACCTATTTTGACGTTCACCAGGGGTACAGGGTTTTGACCCACAGCCATGTCAGGGTTTTGGGATCAAGGGGTTTATCCCCACTTCTGTGATACAAGGGAATCTCCCCCTTTACAGGGGAGGTTAGTCGTTGAGAAGCCCTTCCTGTTGTATCACAAGAGTGGTCCTTTTTCCTCAGCCCTGCTCCATGTTGAACAGCCCACGTCGCAGATAAGTCCTAGCCAATATTGAGGCCCGTCTTTCCAAAGATAGTCTCACCCAAAATTCCGCGTCTATACACTCATGCATATCTTGGCTGACAGTCTTAGGCGAGCGACTCGCAAAGTGTCAGGCCAGTTTGGTTGACCATAGACAGTCCTGCTTTTACTTCCGTTCTAGTCATTCACCGATGCCTTCCTTAATTTCTGTCCAAAGGACACTTGCAAGGGGGACCCTAAACAGCCTCTAACAAATGGACGCTTCTGTGTGTAGCATCCTGAAACCCATTTGGAAGAACCCATTTAGGGTCACCCAAACCTACAATCGGACTTTGGCGCGGGGCGGGGGGGGGTGTCTTGCTTCCCGCGCTAGGCAGAGGGTCATCTCTTTGCTGCGGACGTGGCTGTCAGAGCAGGTGATCGTCTGAGAAAAGGGGGCGTCAAAGCAGAACCTGTGTGCCACCACCCACTTGTGATGTTTTGCTTTCTTGGCTGACACCAGCTTCTCGTGTATTTTGTTTGGCAATTCCAAATGGTGACAATGATTCATGGGGTGGAAGCTTCCATGTGTTTTTTCTAGAGACAATTTGGGGCAACGCCGTCAAGGGCCTACCACGGGCGAAGATTCACTAGGCCCTGTTGCCTGCAGGTCTGCCAGAAAGATCGATGGCTTGCGTAGCTCAGGTTGCCTTTCTGGGCCCTACTCCATCTCATTTGCTTCAGCCGATTTCTTGTGGTTCTGGCCTGTTGGATTTACAAAGGAAATGGGAATGACGTGTAAATAAATGTGAATACAGTATACATATATATATATATAGAGATATGTACATATTATGTTGTTTGAGGGTACCCTTTTCACTGTGGTTTGAAGGAAACTCAGAAGAACGCCTATCCTTTTTCCCGGGGGTGGGGAGTATTTGGTGTCACCTGAAGCAAGATGCAGTTTGGAAGTTATGTAGTTTTTATGTGGTTGATCATCATCCATGCGCCCAGGTGCCTGGTTACTTGGAGACGGTTTGATTCGCAGCAGACACGAGCTCAGCCTGCAGAAAAAGGCAACACGAATGCATGTCCGACAGCAGCCGGCAGAGGACAAATATAAACAACGGTTCTGAGCATTGTTTTGACATGCTATTGCTGCAGCCACATAGTTTAACACATGTGTGGATCTCTGCCAGTCAATGCCATGCGGCATGGAATCTGGCATGGAGAGCCAACATGGATCAATTTAGTTACATTTTCTGCCTTGTTGGACCCTGTCAGGGCATTTCAGTTTGAACCAAACCATTTCAGGTCGCAAGTCTTCAAGCCAGGCGCTTTCCATGGGGGTACCCAAAGTGCACCGAGCCAACAAACGAGACGCCCATCTGTGAAATCGGATGCGTACGTCAAATCCATCGGCATGCCATGCCGTGCGACGTGAGCCTAGACATCCCTGATGGGTTGTCGGTGCCGGAGCTGGAGGAGCAAATGTCAACTGCCAAAAGTCCCCCACAATGCAAGCGTCACCTACGTTTAATTCAATCACCCTTGCCAACAGTCCCTCTTTGGGATGGTTGAATCATCACTTCCGTTTCGGCTTTTGGATCAGCTTTGGTCAGGCTCCCCTAGGTCCCCCAGTAGTGCCCTTTTACCGTTTCTTTTTTGGTCAAGTTTTCCTGACTAAAATAAACAACAGAAAAAAGAAGCGGTACCCTGTTTCTAACCTCTCTACTGGCGGACCTAGTCCCTATGTTGTGACGTTCAAAGGTCAAGAGTTACTTTCCCCTAGGATTTTGTTGGGAAACCATAGGGATGTTTGAATCACCACTTTTGCCTTTTAGATCAGCCTTGGTCAAGCTCCCTATGTTGTGACATTCAAAGGTCAAAATTTGCCCCGGTCCCGGGCCCGGTCCCGCGGCCGGAGGGGCTCTACAACGCGGCGCTGCGGCAAGTGGCTTCCGCGGCGGCGGCGGAGAAGCGGCGCTGCGGCGAGCGCGTGGCTCTGCTGGGCAAGGCGCGCGGGGCGAGGCGGCCGGGGTGGGTGGGGGGGGATTGGACCATGGTGGGAAATGGAAGAACGAGGTCTAAGAAATGGCATGATTGTGGCAAATTGAGTTTTAGGGCCGAAACTACTGTGATGTGAAGGAGCGCCACGTTAAGGTGACAACGAAGTAATAGAATGACCCACTGTTGTATCACAGGAAAGCTCGGGGATGGTGCAGACCATCGAATTGATACATAAATATTGCAAGAAACATACATTGTTGAGAAATGCGGTGCATGGTGGGTGGCCTGATCACATCCCAAATATGAATTACCCGGTCTACAATTAGAATGTCACGTATGTATGTATGTTTTGTTGACATATGCTTACATGCATGCACCAAGTTGGTCATATGAATATCGATGCGTATCGTTTGCACCTTCTGAGTATATCCCGCCAACCTGCCGTCACGTGCCCAGGCCTTGCGGGCTGCTAAGCGCAGGTCCGAGAGGACAGAGAGGCTTGGCAGAGCTCTTTCTTTCTCTCTCTTTTTTGTTCTCTTTTTTTCTCTTTCTCTCTTTTTTTTTTTTTTTTTTTTTTGTCTTTCTTCTTTTCTCTTTGAGAGAGAGAGAGAGAAAAAGACATATTTGTCTTTTTCTACTTTTTTCTCTCTTTCTCTTTCTCTCTCTTCGTGGTGCCGCTTTATCGCCCACCCCCCAAAAACACCTGGCTGTGGCTCAAAAAGTGTACCCAAAATGGCACCTTGGCATATGGAAGCAAAGACCAGAACCTGCGTAACCCCAGCTGTTCAATTTTTAGCCACACCCACCTGAGGTCGCTTAAGCATTGGATTGCCATTTTTTGAGTCCGCGAGAGGGGCCCTAAGAGGAGTGTAGTCCAAAACACTCCTGTCAGCTTCCATCATTAGCAAGAGGGTTCATCTCAGCACCTCATGTGCAGCCCTTACATCTCTAGCCCCAAGCCTCAGCTTGAATGCAATTGGATAGCCTGCGCATCGCATGGCGTTTTGTTTTTCTCCCCCCCCCCCCCCAAGGGTGGAACAGTCCGCTTAGGGGAGTCCGCTTTCACCCGTGAAGAATGCTTAAGGGATTCGTTATTTCTGGCAGGTGAACTACTATTGTGAAATTTTGCAGATTGCGTACCGGATGAAGCCTTAGTTGCAATCCTTCTTTCTCTGATGTTTCCTTGTGCCACATGTCTGACTTGGTTTGATACACATTACACCCGCACTGAGTAGAGTTCGATTTGCCCATCGTGCAGCAGATTGGAATCATTCGGATCGAGCACAAACCCTTTGGACTCGCATCCGAGGAGGCCTGAGTGGTCGACCTACCCAGAGCTGGTTGCACTGCCGCGATGTCCCGAGGACGCGAGGTATGCAGGGATCTCAGTACGGGCACCACTAGGCTGGCGTTGGTTGGACCTGTTACCCTCAACTTGCTTGTTAAGCATGAGTGGTTTGCCACAATGCTGAACTAGGGGGAGAGGGGTCCGGATCCGCTCTAAAATTGGACACATCCTATCAATCCAGGAGCTGCTTGTCAAGATACTCGTACAAAACCCACCTGTGCGCACTGGTTGAGGACAGGGTCCTGGCAGCACTGAAGTGCAACCTCACGCGACTGACCCAACATGACACGTTTGTTTTCAGGACTCAAGGAGATACCCGCGATTCGAATGCTACGGGCTTGTTTTGGGGGATCAAATGAGCCACAATCAAAATTTGGGTAGATGAAGGATAGTAAGGGAGAATCCGAATCAGAACTGGGTGCAGCCGCCTTTTTAAGTTTGTTTGCATGGTTCTGGGCCTAGACCATCTTACTACCAGGTTTTGGTCATGGTTTTGCACCAGGGCTTGTACAAATCAACCGTCTGCTCCGAGGTGCAGAGCTTCGGCTTGGACGACGCGCAAGCGGTGGATTTCTTCCAGGACCTGTTTTCCTTTTGAAGGAGAAACGCCTTCTAAACCAACCAGCACCCTTCAAGGGTGGGCCATTTGTACCTGCAGCGCTCTTGTGTGAGCCATTTTGGGTACAGATGGACCACCCTTGGAGGCTGCTGGGAGTTGGGTGTTGAGTTGTTTTTGATTTCGGAGTGTCCATTCAAACTGAAATGCCAGAAACCAACATTGGACACTGTACTCCTTTTCAACCCAACCTCGTCAATATGCTGGTGTTGGGATTCGGAAAAGAAATGCTGTTTTGTTGCTTAGTGATGGTGACCCTTGTTCCGAAAGTAGTCTTCCACAACCATCCTTTCTAACAGCTACCATGATTCTTGGGTGGTGTGGGTTGTTCTTAGTCCCCGTTCTTCGGTGGCATCCTCTAAACCCCTTCGTTTGACTTCCTCGCTGGTCAGCCCAATCTGCGAGGGTCTCTGAACAACCGGAAGCTTGCAAACCTGGCCAGGTGTAATTGTGTAGGTCAGGTGTTTGGAATTAATTATCGTTCATTGAGCCATGTTATTTTTTCCCCAGGAGTACGGCTTCGTGGTCTTTCGGGATGTCCTGGATGCCCAGGAGTGCGCGGCACCCGGACAGGGAAACCGCGAGAATATGCCGGTCCTTGGTTTGAAAACTCATGGAGACTAGGTGAATCATAACGACCTCACACGACCTCACCCCAAATGGTGGTTTATGTGGGGAATATTCGCCCAACTACCTTATTTCAGGTTGGTGAAATATTATAACTCACCCAGATGGTGACTGGTATTGAATGAACCTCAGATGCACTTTGTAGAATTCGGGTGGTCTTAATGTGTGATGTTGGTCCATGTTCCCTCCAAACAGGTTTTAGCTTGGTCCAGATTTGTTTGAGTCGAGTTCCAAAAAAGTCCCTTGGGCCCTGGAGAGACGGATCCCTTCGATTCTGTCCGATTTTGTCCAGGCCTGGGTATGTAAGAGCCACTCAGACCAAAGACTTGCAAAGTGGGGAGCCGGTGATTTTCCACCGGGTCTGCAATATTTGTTGGGGTTCTCTTCATTTTTCGAGCTACAAGGAACAAAGAGGTTTGCTAACATACCAAGGGAAAGTTCGATTTGTTCGAGGCGATGTTTTTCGGTGTGAAATGCGGATTCGTCACGAGGTGAGGCGACCGTGGCGGAGATTTGGGCGTCCCTGGAGGAGCGCACTCCAGGCGAGCCCCCAAAAGGGGCTTGGGGTTTCTTTTGGGCTTTCCTTTAAAGCCACAAAAAAAGGGAAGACACACACACACACATAGCCTCCGTCCAATCACGGAAAAAATCCTTGACAAATTGGGTTGTCTTGTTCTTAAGTTGTCGGTTGTGTGGTTCAAAAGGAATTCCAAAGGCAAACCACCCTTTGCAGGGTTCCCTCAAGAAAACACACACAAATATGCCCCAAACCTTTCGCGTTCAGTTTTGTCTTGCGAATAAAGGACATTGCCATATTTTTGAGACTCCTGTTTGCCAGAATTCGGGATGAGTGTCCGATTCGAAGGCCTGCGGCGCCAAGACAGGGAGACCTGGCACTTGCTGTCCTCGGAGCGGTATGGGCTTCCAGAGGAGCAGGTGGGATGCAACTTAGTAGAAGGTGGAGATTCTCATTTATTTCAAACCTACCTCTAACTAATATACCTCTGCCCTGGTGTGGGCCTTTTTTTGGGCCTACCTTTCTTATGAAATGGGTGGGGTTGAATTGTTTCCCCCAGGATTTGAGGGAGGCCTTCCCGTGGCGTGTTAGATCATGTGTCCCTGAATCTGTGTTAGATCATTAGCCTCCCGAGAAAGCCAGATTTGAGGAAATATGCCCGAATCCAAATTAAGCCTTGTTAAGCCTTAGTAAGCCTTATTAAGCCTTATTAAGCCTTAATAAGCCTTAATAAGCCTTATCAAGGCTTATTAAGCCTTATTGCGCAGTTCATCCTTATGAAGCCACTTCTTAATGAAGAAACATTTGAAACAGATTGACTGATTGACCGCTGGCTGGCCAAATTGCATCGAATCCTAGAACATATGCCCCAGAATTCTAGTTGGCACACTTTGAAAAGACCAAAACATTGCTTATTTTTGAGAAGTAAGAGGCGTAGTAGGGGGAGGGCAGGGGGGGGGGGGAAGGGAGGGGAGGGAGGGGAGGGGAGGGAGGGAGGGAAGGGGAGGGGGGGGAAGAGGAAGGGGGGGAAGGGGGCGGGGTGAAAAGCGTGTCGCTGCGCAGGTTTTGGGTTGGGCCTCCAATAAAGCCTTATTAAGCCTTAATAAGCCTTGATAAGCCTTGATAAAGCCTTATCAAGGCTTATTAAAGCTTTAATAGGCCCAGCTAGCAAACAATTGCACTTTCCTTGCTTGATTTGGGAGACTGGGTTGCCCTCAACATCTCACTGGTGATCTAAACCACCTTACTTGGGAATCACAGAAGGTTTGGCTTCTCGCTCCTGCTTTGCGGGCCCCACAATTGCCGCAGCAGTTTCCTTTGCACTTGCGCAATGGAGCAATCGCAGCTTGATTTGAGCAAAGTACCCCAACAACGATCGCACATCATGAAGCACACAGAAAACCTGAACCAACATTAAACATGCAAGACCAAATCTGGGGAGGCCCTCCCTCGGGAGGCTCTTCAGGGACACATGGTTAGAGGTAGGCCTGGAATTAGGCCTGTGCCTGTTTGGTGTGGATGGAATCGCACATCCGTCGAGCCTATTTGAAATCTCAAGCCACCATTCAGCCTTTGTCAATATCTCAGTCATGGCCTTCTCCCTTGCCGAGCGCGCTGGCCTTTTGGTGAAGATGATTGAGCACTCCGGAGTGCTTGTAGACGAGTACACCTTGGAGCTTGCCAAAGACCCAACGGAGGATCTGGTCACCTGGCTGCATGTTGCGACAGGGGTAGGTCCGAAAACACGCCTTATCTCTGAGGTCGAGGAATTTCTGGAGATAACTGGGATGTCTTTGAAGGAGTACCTTGCCCGCCAGCGGCGCCCCGGACCTTACTCGGACCACTTCGGACTCCAGGCGTTTTGTGACTTGTCTGGCTTCGGTGCGCGTGTCCACTCTCACACTGCACCTTGACTCTGCACCCAACATTGTCAGGGTCTGAGGTTTTAGAGTTCCTGGACATCTATCACCAACCAGGCCGTGGGGACCACTGTGAGGAGACGCACTATGATGCCCTGCTTCACAGCAAAGGCCTTGAAGAAGGAGTGAGGCCCAAGCACCTCGTCCCCAAGTCCAAGGTCGCAGTAGATGAAACCTTTCTGGAGGCTGGCTCCAAGGAGGAGTTCATCAAACGCTGCACCAGTTCTAAGGTCTCTGGGGGAGCGCTCGACAGTCTGTGGGGCAAGGGCTGGAGATGCACTGGAGACAGATCCGCATGTACTTGGGGTGGATCAAGGATCTTACGAAGGCCTTGAGACACTTGGAGACACAGCCCGCCATCCGCAAAACTCCCTTCAAACCGGGCTGTGTGCGAATTCTTGAACTGTTTTCGCTCTGCTCCACATTCCCGTGCCACAGAAGCGCGGTGGGGGGCGTCAGTAGGCTGCGTGTGCCGAAGCTAAGAGATTGCGTTTCCTTGCCGCGCAACAAAGCCTTGAATAGGATCGCTTGCCTGACTAAATATAGGTCTGTTTTTTTTTGGGGGGGGGGTTTTCCGCCAACCTCTGCCAAAGAGGGGGGTGCGTTGAAAGAGCTTGCTGTTGTAAAAGGCTCCTTTTTAAAGGGGTCTGCTTTTGAAAGGGTTTCCCGTTGATACATTTTGTACATGGATCATATCAAAATAGCCCAGACGTGAACGAGGCTTGATTCGACGAGCGTTCTGGAAGTATAGGTCTGGATTCCTTCTGGAGGGGTTTTCCACCTACCTCTGCCAAAGATCATAGATTGCAAAACCACCCCCCCTGAACCCCCTCCCCCCTTCCAAAGTAAGGCCAAATTCAGAGGACACATAAAAGGAAGGCCTTATTAAGGACTTAGTAAGCCCTTATTAAGGCCTTTTAAGCACAATTAAGGCCAAATTAAGGCCAGATTAAGGTCAAATTAAGGCCAAATTGAGGCCACATTAGGGTCAAATTAATGCCAAACTAAGTCCAGATTGGCGCACATGCCAGCACGAAATAAGGCAAGAGTAAGGCAAACATAAAGCCCAATTCAAGGGAACACTGAAAGCGCGCCTAGGGAATGTGAAGAAACAGAAACTGAAAGCCAAACTGAAGCAAAATGAAATCCAATCGGCGGGCGGGTTGGCTACCGAGCGCCGATGGCTTCAGGAAGTTGCTTCAAAAATAGCCCCTAATAAGCCCTAATCAGCCCTTATTTATTTTGGGGGGGGTGGTTCAGAGGGGGGCTGGTTTGGAAACTATGAAAAGAGGGGGGGGCGTTGAGAGAGCCTGCTTTTGTAAAAGGCTTGATTGGTAAGAGGGTGGTCTGCTTTGAAAGGGCCTCGCGTTGATACATCCTGTACATGGATCATATCAAAATACAGACGTGAATGAGGCTTGATTCGATGATCATTCTGTAAAGGAGCATTCTTTCACACGTTCTTTTTTGGCTCGCAGAAAGGCATTTCCTATGGAGAGGGCGTCGCTGCTGCTAAAACCATATCCACCTACCTATTGGGCAAAAATCAAAAGACAAAATTGAAGAGGAAGGCTCTAAAACAAACGAGATTTGAAAATTCCAGGTTTTAATGACCGCGTTTGAGGTAGTCCTAAAAGGCAGCAACCGGGGAGGTAGGTCTAGAATCATTGAAAAGATTGAAGCTTGACAAGAGTAAGGCCTGCGTTGAAAAGTTTAACGAACCTTACCAACTTAGGGGTAGGTCTGGGTTGGGCGCCTTTTTTTTCTTCTCCTTTTTTGGGGTTTCGGGTTCCCCTTTAAACTCAACCAACAGAAAAAAAAGTGCCGATTCTTACTTTCCCATGGCCACTGGGGCATCTGAGGGTAGGTCTGGGTTTGTCTTGGTGCGATGGGCAGGGAATGAATTTCCGAGTCCGGGTGTTGGTTGCGTGAACCGGTTTGGGGGATTATTCCTGAAAGGAAGCGATAGGGGATGGTTTACAGGGGTGATGATTCCCTGCTGAGAACCAGCAAGTTCTTTCTTGAGAGTACCAGTTTTCAGGTTGGTTTACAGGGCAAACAGGACAAACACCATGTTGGGGCGCACTCATTTTGACAAGGCTTTGTGAAAAACCACCCAAAAAGCAGGTAACCTTCACCCCAAAAGAGGAAGCAGGGGATAGCTTTATTGCCGCCCAAGGCACATAAGGCTTGGGTTGGTACCGGAAAAGGAATAGGCCTGTTCAGTACCCAGTCATGTCTTTGCCATACCCGCGTCACTCGGCTAAAGGGCGGTAATTCTTGCTTGGAATGACAAGATGCTTAAGTCACTGTCGTTAACTCATCCTTAGTCAGTTTTTCCCTTAAAGCGACGTTCATGGTCTGCTTGTTGAACGATCTTTCCCAATGGTGCCGTACGACAGGCTGACGCTGGTTTCAAGCAGTCTCAAGCACTAGCTTGATATGAGCAACGGTCTATATTTCCTGTCACTACTGCACAGGGGATGACCTTGGGTACTCTCGCAAAAAGGTTTACTCGCCAAAATCCTATGTCAGCTGGTTAATATTGACTGTGTCTCATATGGCTGTGGGTCAAAATGAATGGTACCATTTTGGGGCAGGTGACTTCAGCACCCATTTTAGAACCCATTTTAGTGGTTGGATTGGGATGTTCACTGGGGCTACGGGCTTTGGATTTTGACCCATGGCCATACGCTGGCACTGCCTACAAGCAGAACGAACTGAGTGCCAGGCGGTGTTCACACCACAGATCGTGGCGAATCGCCAGAACCCCCGGGTCTATGCCGCGTTGGACGCCGTGTTGCCCCGCATGCACCACATCGAGGAGCTGCACAGGGCTGTCTGCGTTTTCCCAGTGTTTTTGAGAATCACCTGATGTGAACGGTAAAAGGTGAGTTTCCTTCAGTAGAAGTGACGTTCGAGGGGAAATGTAGGGAACCCTGTTGCCTGGTGCAACCTAGCTTTGAACAGGCGCGCTTGTGAGTCCCGTTTTGGTGATTGCAACATCGCCTTCTGGTATGTCAAAGCGAGTTTTCCTTCAGAAGCTAGCAGTGTAAGATGGTCTCCACAACCCCAAGCCAATACCTCTAGAGGAAAACTGTGCATATACCCTTTAATTCCATGGCTTGGTGGTTGTATATCCCGTTAAACCTTTGGGGGCGGAAACCATTTTAGAGACAGGATTTTGAAAGTCTGCTTTTGGAGAAGCCCCTTGTCCACTTCCATTGCACATGGTCGCAGGACTTCGACAGCCCCCATCCGGATCCCAACAGCGTGGTGGTGACGCAGGACAGGCGTGACCCGAGAAGTGGGACGCACAGACATGGCCATGGCTGTTGGACAAGGGATCCGGTTTCTTGAGGTACCAAGGGACTCTTTGAACGATTCCCTTTGGATGGGGCGTTTAATTGGGAAACTGAGAGGACACCGGAAGAGTCAGCAACAAATCCCTGGGGACTCGCAGTTTTGTCCAAATTTCCCATAGGGCAGCCGAACATTCCGAACATGGCACAGATTTCGAAGCTGGACAGTTGGCACTTGGCGAAACATGATGACAGCATCGGTTTGGTATTTTGGGGTGCACCTACGTCCTACTTAAACTGAATCTGCTGACAGTTCATTCCTGAAGTGTTGCGAGTACATTGGCTTCGAGGCATGCTAGGCGCTACCAGGCTTTTCTTGCCGCCTGCTTGCAGCGAGGGGAGCCAACATAAGTTGACACAAAAGCAGTCTCCAACCCCCGCCGCGCAACGCGCGTCAAGGGCCCTTTTGACGATCGACTGTCCTCATGACAACAGGCGAATAGCCCAAGGTTTGAGCCATCGCACCAGCCGGCCCCAGCAAGATTCATTTGCGGGCCCACTCCCTGAGTTCCAAGATCTTTTTTGGGGGGACGACAATGTTAGTGGTTGTTTTTTTAGGTTGTTTTTTTTGGCACATCCACTCTGGCAGTGAGTACGCAATTGTTGCAACGGTTTTCTGTTGAAGACTGGTAAATGTTTGAGGATCCAACAAGACTCCAGGTACGGGTCGAGCATCTAGAGCGACCAGCCCAGCAGGGTGGACCATGGTAAATTCTGAGAGTCCGGATTCGTCCTTTCAAGACTACCTAATGGGGTCGACCAACCATGCTGGGGTTTGTTGCGGGTCCGGCTTAGTCCTCCCCAACAACTTATGCCAAAATTCCCCTAAAGGCGCGAGAGGAGTTTGAGGCAACAGCTTTGGGGCCCGGCATCTTGGTGATTTCAATGGTTTCAGTGTACCAGTAGCGTCGACCCCGGATTTTTCTGGGTTAGTCCCCAAGTGGAATTCTGAAACTGAGCACTTTGGGTTTGTTCCTGCGTTCCCATCAATGAAACGCAGGTGGTGCCTATACCGACCGGGAAGAAGTGAAGAGAGCTGGCGCACAGCGGAAAACCTGCACCTGGACGTGAACCCTTGGACCTATGCTGGGCTTAAGGCGACTGAGATCGAGAGCCTGAGGCGGGGTTGGGTGATTGGGGGGTTGGAGGGGAGAGGGTTGGGGGTTGCGAGGGCTTCAGGGGAGGGATGCAGAGGATAAAGATGAAGGGTCAGGATGAGTGCTGGGAAGAGCGGGGGGTGGGAGCAAGGGGTGCAAAGAAGGTTTGAGGAGGGTCGGGCGGAGCAGGAGCTGCAGGCTGAATACACCGTAGGGCAAGAACCTCAAGCATTGGTGTTTTTGGTTTTGTTGTGTGTTGTTGTGTTGTGTTTCGTTTGCGTTTGTTGTTTGTTTTGTTTAAGCTGACTGAGCCGCGTTAAGCTGTGGTTTGCTTGCTTGCTTGCTTGCTGGCTTGCTTGCTGGCTGGCTGGCTGGCTGGCTGGCTTGCTGGCTGGCTTACTGGCTTGTTGGCTGGCTTACTGGCTTGCTTGCCTGCTGGCCTGCTAGCTTTGTTTGTTGTTTTTGTTTTGTTGTTGTCGGTTTGTGTTGGTTGCTTTGTTTCTCTTATGTTTGTTTGTTTGATGTGTGGCGGTGTGTGGTGTTTTGTTCACGCTTGTGTATCAATGGGTTGGTGGTGTGCTGTTTTTTGTTTGTGCGGGGTGAGTTATTGTGTTTTCTTTGTGTTTGTGTTTTTGTGTTTCTTTTTGTTGTTTTGTTGTTTTGTGTTGTTGGTTTGTTGGTTGGTTGGTTGGTTGTTTGTTTGTTTGTTTGTTTGTTTGTTTGTTCGTTCGTTCGTTCGTTCGCTCGTTTGTGTGTTTGTGTGTTTGTTGTCGTCTTGAGTTGTTTTGTGTGTCGTGTCGTGTCCTCTCGTCTCGGCTCGGCTCGTCTCGTGTCTTGCTTGCTTGCTTGCTTGCTTGCTTGCTTGCTTGCTTGCTTGCTTGCTTGCTTGCTTGCTTGCTTGCTTGCTTGCTTGCTTGCTTGCTTGCTTGCTTGCTTGCTTGCTTGCTTGCTTGCTTGCTTGCTTGCTTGCTTGCTTGATTTTGTTTGTTTGTTTGTTTGTTTGTTTGTGTTTGTTTGTTTTTGTGTTCATTTGGTTGGCTGTCTGGTTGCTGTTTCACAAGACCATGCGGACTTCATTCGAGGATGTGTCAATACCCGGTTTGATGAGTTGTTCAGCGGCCCTTAATCTGCATTTCCAGCCTAGGTATTGTTGTCAGGGTGCCGGGTTCTGACACGGCATTTCAGCGTGTCACATTGACATGAGCTGAGGTATGGCTGTGCAGGATTCGGGGACCACCGCTTCCCTTTGCAGGACTGGAGCATGAAGAAAGGCTTGTGGCCTGGTTCGGTGGCACCCAAAACTCCAAAGACTGTTTTTTGCTGGGCTCCCCACTAAAACGTAAGTGAACCACACCCGAAAAGAGCTCTCCTCTTTCCACCAGGGTCATGTTATCGGCGGGGAGGGGGGGGGATTGTCAAGGCAAAAGATTGTGGACCAGAACAACGCCTTAAGCACTTTTGAAAATTGCTTACTTGACTTGGCGTTCTGATCCCTGTCAATCCGCCCAATGCTCCCACAAACTGGGGCCCAATCTTTCGCCAAATCTCCCCTTCGGCCAGGATTTAAGAGTCGAACATGGATCTGGCCTTACTCTACCAAATTACTATGAGGGCCTGAAGAATTAGAATGGGTTTGTGGGGCACAATGAAATCAAACTTCCTACAGGTCCTGTCTGAGAATTTTTGTATTTTTTTTGACCCTGTGACTTGCTGGTTCTTAGCAGGGAATGAGAACTGGAATGACCCCCAAGAAAATGCAATCCCTGTCCTATGGCTTCCTTTAAGGAATCCCCGGCAAATCTTGCTCATGCACCACGCGTACAAACACTTGTTGCCTGCTACGCTTTGCAGTGGAGCAACTTACACCTTTGCGACTTTTCCTGGCAAACGGTTCATTGAACCAAGACCCAGACTCGGAAATTCATTCCCTATCGCACCTTCGCGCAAGGACTTCCGGGCCGAGCTGACTGCGGTGCAGGGGAAAGAGGGCGTGCAGCACGTGCAGGCACAGCTTTGGGAGTCACTGCGTTGCAGTAGCTTTTCAGACTCACGTGGTGAGTTTCTGGACTTTTTGTGGTTTTTGGGAAGACCGTGTTGGTGGCCAATCCAGTTTTGGGAGGGCCTTGTTTTTTCCCCAACAGCTGCGGCCCTGAGGTAAGGTTCCACGAGGGTTCCACGGGGGTTCCACCAGGGTTCCACCAGGAGGGTTCCACTAGGGTTCCACGAGGTTCTGCGAGGGCTGCGGGGTGGTGCGAGCACTAAAAAGAGCACCACATGCTGTTGGGGATATCACCTGAGCTTATTGTTGTTGTTTTTTTTCTTTGTGGGGAAGACATTCTGTTGGTAAGATCGTTTTTGATTTTGGGAAGCGCTGACTTTTGTTGACCAATCCGCCCAGGAAGTGAGGAAGGAAGGGATGTTGATCCGGGTTGGTTGCGGTGTCAGCATGGTTGGAAACCCTCTAAGACTTGCCGCAAATGTGGCTATGTCCTGGTGCAATACCTCCGTAGGGCATGCGGTTGTGCAAAAGAGGGTGTTTGTCATATACAGAAACAATCTGTTTGCACCGCTCAAACTGAAGTCCCCGGAGGGGGCACGAAGAGCAAAGCCTCACTGTTAGGAACATGGAACTCAAACCAATCTCCTCTTAGCCTAGGGTTTTAGTAGCATTGATAATCATTGATGGCCCCCAAGAGAGTTCCTTGCATGACTATTGTCAAAGCAGATGGCCCCAACAAATGGTTGGTGAATGCCTTCAGACCTTTGCAAAACATGATCCCAAACAAGGACAGTTCCCTTGATTTGTGCTTCGAGGTTTGCCCGTAACGAAGCGTTTCTCTGCGACCACCGCAGGGGGTGCTGAACTTGATCGACAACTTGGAGGAGGACGGGTTTGCCCAGAGACTGGGCGCTAATGGACCCATGGCGCGTTTTGCAAGACTGGCATGGGAGTTTCTCAAAATGGTGGATCTGCTTTTAGCTTTTTGAAGGGATACCAAAAGGAAACCATCCATGTTGATGTTCTGTTGATTTCCCTCCATCAAAACCAGTCCACGTGTTCAGTGTTGCTGAAACGATTTTGGCTTGCGCCTCCAGATCCGGAATCCAAGAAAATGATGAAATTCACACGTTCTCTTCTGATCATGAAGTAGTTTTGGTTGTGTTTCAAATTAACACCCCAAACCCCCCCCCACCACCAAAGTATATACCCCACATCTTCCCCGGCCGCCTCCTCCCAACTGCAGCGTTTTTTCCCCCTCCCCCTCGAGGATGGTGGCACGCGCTTGGTCCCGGGCTTCCATCACTGCTTCCACGGCTGGTTGGAGGCATTAGGACCCAAGTCGGCTGTCTGTCGGGGCTGTTTCGCTGCGGGGGGGGGGGGGGTTGGGAAAAGAAAAACAGGAGCCCCTTGCCGAAATATGTTTTGTTGCTAGAAACATCACCTTTTGGGCCTATCGGTGAGTTTTGCCAGTTTGCTGTGGCAGTGATGATGTGCTAAGCGGGAATACAGGGAATCCTGACAAATCCAAGTACAAAGAGCGGAAACGCGGCGGGAGAAAGATGAAAAAGGCACAGTCATTGTTTAACATTGCTCTCACTTCGAAGTTGCTGCGTTTGCAACGCATCTAGCCCTAGCTGTTGGACGTTGACAAGCAAAGCAAATGACCTTTGGGGTTCCCCGAAGAAGTGGAAGGAAGAATTCGGTGTTGTGAGTTGTGCCCATGCCGATTGCCTTGGGCTTTTGGAGCACGAGGGGGGGGTGGGGGGGGTGGGGTGGGGGTGCCTCTTGAATGGCCTGAATTGGACACTTGAAAAAGATGGACCGGTGACGGCGACAGAAATGCACCTCCAAGGCAAAAAATCTCTTGAACAGCCAATGCGTGGCTCGCCCTTGGCAGTTCCCCTGCCCTTTTAGATGCGTTTGGGTGGATCTCTGACACATCCCACTCAAGGTTTGTGATTTGGATCAATGAATCACTAAGATATCAGTGCCATGGTCAACCCCAGGTTTAACTTTCAGTAAGGAATCAAAGCACCACACACAAAACAATACAAGATCCGCAATTTAGGGAGGGGCCGATTGCCCTGGAATTCCATTGGTTCCCAGTTTCCAACATCGTCAGAGTAGAACAACTTCGAATGGGTGGACCCACCTCTGAAGGTAGCGGGGATGACTATATGCTAATGGTAAGGCTGTGGTTGTGGTGGATTGGAGGTTTAGGTGACTTCTCTTGTTCCACGTTTCCCTTGGGCCGAGAAAGCCGGAACTCTGGGGTCCATGGCGAGGAGACATGGACCAGAACTTGGCCCAAAGCGGCCAGCAGGACAACTGGGTGCTGCGCCGTGCTGCGGGGGGCGGCAGCTTCAAGTTTTCCAACCTGGATCCCATCCACCAACTCTCCAGGTGCCGTGGACTAGGGGGGGAAGGGGGGCACTCGAGTTCATTTTTTCCCCGAAAGCATCGCGAAGGGTTCTTCCGTGCGGAGCCCTTGGACAAGTTACATAGAGCGAAGTGACATAGAGCCAAGTGACATGCAGCCAAGTGACATAGAGCCAAGTTACATAGAGCCAAATTACATAGAGCCAAGTGACATAGAGCCAAGTTACATAGAGCCAAGTTACATAGAGCCAAGTTACATAGAGCCAAGTTACATAGAGCCAAGTTACATAGAGCCAAGTTACATAGAGCCAAGTTACATAGAGTTACCCAAGTTACATAGAGCCAAGTTACATAGAGCCAAGTTACATAGAGCCAAGTTACATAGAGCCAAGTTACATAGAGCCAAGTTACATAGAGCCAAGTTACATAGAGCCAAGTTACATAGAGCCAAGTTACATAGAGCCAAGTTACATAGAGCCAAGTTACATAGAGCCAAGTTTACATAGAGCCAAGTTACATAGAGCCAAGTTACATAGAGCCAAGTTACATAGAGCCAAGTTACATAGAGCCAAGTTACATAGAGCCAAGTTACATAGAGCCAAGTTACATAGAGCCAAGTTACATAGAGCCAAGTTACATAGAGCCAAGTTACACAGAGCCAAGTTACACAGAGCCAAGTTACACAGAGCCAAGTTACACAGAGCCAAGTTACACAGAGCCAAGTTACACAGAGCCAAGTTACATAGAGCCAAGTTACATAGAGCCAAGTTACATAGAGCCAAGTTACATAGAGCCAAGTTACATAGAGCCAAGTTACATAGAGCCAAGTTACATAGAGCCAAGTGACATAGAGCCAAGTTACATAGAGCCAAGTTACATAGAGCCAAGTTACATAGAGCCAAGTTAGAGCCAAGTTACATAGAGCCAAGTTACATAGAGCCAAGTTACATAGAGCCAAGTTACATAGAGCCAAGGTTAGGTAGAGCTTAGAGCTTCGGCGTTAGCAGCTATGTAAGTTAGTTTAGGTTTCTAAGGCGCCGGGGCGGGAGTTTGATCGTCGCTCGGGATTGCGACCCTCTGCGGAGATTCGCGTGGTCGAGGTCAAAAAACTGCAGACTTTTTACGATTTTTAGCATGCCCGCGCGACCCTCTGCGGAGATTCGCGTGGTCGAGGTTCAAAAACTGAGGACTTTTTACGATTTCTGCGGTGCGCGCGCGACCCTCTGCGGAGATTCGCGTGGTCGAGGTTCAAAAACTGCGGACTTTTTACGATTTTTAGCATGCGCGCGCGACCCTCTGCGGAGATTCGCGTGGTCGAGGTTCAAAAACTGCGGACTTTTTACGATTTTTAGCATGCGCGCGCGACCCTCTGCGGAGATTCGCGTGGTCGAGGTTCAAAAACTGAGGACTTTTTACGATTTTTAGCATGCGCGCGCGACCCTCTGCGGAGATTCGCGTGGTCGAGGTTCAAAAACTGAGGACTTTTTACGATTTTTAGCATGCGCGCGCGACCCTCTGCGGAGATTCGCGTGGTCGAGGTTCAAAAACTGAGGACTTTTTACGATTTCTGCGGTGCGCGCGCGACCCTCTGCGGAGATCGTGCGCGTCGAAGCGCTCTCGCTGTGGCGCCGCGCGAATTTGTCTTAGTCTCGGCGAACCCTCTGCGGAGATTGTGCGTGTCGAAGCGCTCTCGCTGTGGCGCCGTGCAATAGTCTTGCTCGCGAAACGGCCTTTGGAAGTTGTCTCGTGGTTTGCGCGCTTGCTTTCGCAATCCCGCGGTCGCGGGTTCGATTCCCCCCTGGTCCGCGGCAGCTCCGGCTTGAAAATCGCAGCTTTTAAGTACAAACGTAGTACGCGGAGCGTGCTCCTGCAGCTCCGGCTGGAAAATCGTAACTTTTAAGTACAGACGTAGTGTGCGGAGCGTGCTCCCGCAGCTCAGGCTGGAAAATCGCAACTTTTAAGTACAAACGTAGTACGCGGAGCACACCCCCGCAGCTCCGGCTTGAAAATCGCAGCTTTTAAGTACAAACGTAGTACGCGGAGCGTGCTCCTGCAGCTCCGGTTGGAAAATCGCAATTTTTAAGTACAACGTAGTACGCGGAGCACATTCCCGCGGCTCTGGCTGGACAATCGCAACTTTTAAGTACAAAAATAGTACGCGGAGCACATTCCCACAGCTCCGGCAGCACTTGCGCAGAGCAACTTGCGCAGAGTCACTTGCACAGAGCAACTTGCGCTCTGCGAATTGCACAGAGCACTTGCACAAAGCACTTGCGCAGAGCACCTTGCACAGACCAACTTGCACAGAGCACATGCGCAAAGCGCTCGCACGGAGCAACTGGCGCAGAGCACTTGCGCAGAGCAACTTGCTCAGAGCACTTGCGCAGAGCAACCTGCACAGAGCACTTGCGTGCAGCAGCGTGCAGAGAGCAACTTGCCCGAAAGCAGCCTGCAACAGTGCAGCTTGCGCAGACCACTTTCGTGAGAAATCATGCAGCGCAACTTGAGCAAAGCACATAGCCAAGTTGCACAGAGCCAAGTTGCACAGAGCCAAGTTGCACAGAGCCAAGTTGCACAGAGCCAACTTGCACAGAGCCAAGTTACATAGAGCCAAGTGACATAGAGCCAAGTTACCATAGAGCCAATTTACCATAGAGCCAAGTTACCATAGAGCCAAGTTACCATAGAGCCAAGTTGCATAGAGCCAAGTTACATAGAGCCAAGTTGCACAGAGCCAAGTTGCACAGAGCCAACTTGCACAGAGCCAAGTTACCATAGAGCCAAGTTACATAGAGCCAAGTTACATAGAGCCAAGTTACATAGAGCCAAGTTACATAGAGCCAAGTTACCATAGAGCCAAGTTACATAGGGCCAAGTTACATAGAGCCAAGTTGCACAGAGCCAAGCTGCACAGAGCCAACTTGCACAGAGCCAAGTTACATAGAGCCAAATGACATAGAGCCAAGTTACCATAGAGCCAAGTTACCATAGAGCCAAGTTACCATAGAGCCAAGTTACCATAGAGCCGAGTTACATAGAGCCAAGTTGTACAGAGCCAAGTTGCACAAAGCCAAGTTGTAGAGCCAAGTTGCACAGAGCCAAGTTGCATGAGTCAAGTTACACAGAGCCAAGTTGCATAGAGTCAAGTTACATAGGGCCAAGTTGCACGAGCCTGCTTTGAAGAAGCTGTTGCATCGTGAAAAGCACATGATGGGAAGCGCTTGGGGAAAAATGCTTTCGGGCCAATCGTCCTCTAGTTTTTTTACACTTGTTGGGGCTAAGCCGTTTTGGTGACAAAGAAGTAGTTTGGACTCTTTGTTTGGCCAGTCTACTCAGGAAGTGAGTAGCTGTGCTGTGCGGTTGGATCCTTGAACTTGTGGTTGGACATGTGCTATGTTCTCCCCCCACTGACCGCAAGAAGTTAAACAGTTGGGCAGGGAGCAAGTGTCATGAAGCCAGTAGGTTTTTCTTTGGCGGCGACTTGGGCAGTTTGGGTTGCGTCTCTCTTTTTTTGTGGTGGGGGGCCAATCATGTTGGTTGGTTTTAAAGGTAAACCAAAAGGACACCAACCGGTTAGGGGTCCCTGAAACTTGAGACAAGCCCCATTGCGGGCTTCATGGGTTAGGCTTCTTTTGTAGGAGTGGATCTGTTTTGTTGTGTTTTTGGTGTTGGTTTCATTGTTTTTCACAGAAGCCCATCGGCAACCGGCTCATGGGCTTGCCTGTCACTTGGTTCTCCTGTTCTGCAAATATAATTATTTGGCGGAACATATATGCAAATATCGTGCGCTCACTGGAAAAAGACAGAACATATTGAACAATGATATCTCTGGAAAAGTACTAAGCCCCACTGTTGATCTTTGAAGGTTGCTTTGTGTTGTCTTTTGCCCAGGAAGGTCCTTGCTGTCTCCGCTATATCCCACAGTTTGGAACTGTGAATGTGACCCCTGTTCCACACCCTTAAAGTCCCAAACTGCCCAAGTCCCCCCCAAAGAGAAAACCTCCTGGCTTGGTGGCTCTTGCAAGGCGGTTGACTTCCGCTTGAGCTTGATACCGGGGTAACCCTTTGTTGAAACATGGAGTTAGCACCTAGGCAACCCCTTTCAGGCAACCACCACGTTTGACACCCCGAGATTTTCGTTTCCGAATCTCCTCTGAAACTTTGGCGCCGCCGTACGCTGAATCTCAGGGAATGAGAAATGGAATGACCCCGAGAAAAGCCATCCATGGCTTCCCGAAAATTCGGGACTCCCCGAAATCAAAACCGCTTCATTCCACCACCCGGCCTCGTTTCCTTTGTTTGTCCCGCGCGAGTCAACTTGCCGCCCGCTTCGGCTCGCTGGATCGAGCTGAGCTGAAAAACGAGCTCCGAGGCGCGTCCCGCTGCGGGGCGGCAGCTTTTTGCTTTGGAACCAGCTGCTGGTCCACGGCAGCTGCGCTAACCGCTCCGAGAACTTCCGGATTGTGCCTCGCGCGGAAACTTAAATGGCTGTGGTGGTCAAAGCCGATGGGATCCCATTTTGGGGTAGGTGAATTCACCACCCATTTTAGAACCTATTTTAGTGGGGATTGGGATGTTCACTGGGGGTATGGGATTTCGACCCATGGCCAAATCGCTTGTCGAAGCCGGGGAGGGGCTGCGGGAAGTGACGTTTGGGCAGCAGCCAGGGAGCTTTGGGGAAGGAAACGGGCTCACTTCCTGAGTTCCTGGCAGACCATGTTAGTTAGTGGTAAATAAACATTTATTTATTGTTTTTGGACTCGGAACTTTTTGGGCGGACGGTACATAAACAGGTTGGTTTTTTTGGCCAGTCCAGTCAGGAAGTGAGTTTCTAGTGTTTTTGTTGTTTTCCCCGTGCCTCAAAAGGATAGACCTTTGGCTCTGGAAGATCCACCCATACAGGTCCTCGCACGTGGGGATGAATTTTGAGTTTAGACAGTTTTATGAGACATCCTACACAAAACACGGCCTTTAGTAAGCGATGAACAACCCAAACAGTTTTTGTTTGTGGTTTGCTCAACCCTCTCGTGCACCTCTGCAGGCAAGCATGGCAATGACTTGGTGAAATCAAATGAAAGATATGTGGTTGCCTATTGTAGTGGAAACTGAGATTCACTGGTCAGCAGGCCTCCCTGTCAAAAGACCTGCCATGGATGCCTGAAAAGAATCAGGATGTTTCACCCACGGACAGACACTGTCACTAGCTTGAGAAATTGTGGTCATGCGGAATCTTCAACCAATCGTGCGTTGGGTATGCGGTATGCGTTTGATTTGTTTGGAAGTGTAGGGCGAGTGTTCTTGGTAGGGAGGGTGGGTATGGCGCCTCATTGCTCTCTGAGTGTCGAAAGGTCTGGCCTTGCGTTTATGATCACCATTTTTATCAAGGCTGGTCCCAGTTGACCCAGTTCATGAACTTGATCTGGTTGATCCAATTGAATCGGTGGGTCGAGTTGGGCTGCTGACGCAATCAAATCAGGGAGGTACGGCAGGGGTATGGCTGGGCGTTTGCTTCATGATTGTGGGAGATTGGGTTTCAGCGCCATTTTCTGTGATACCAAAGAAACCCCCTTTGAATCACAGGCATGGCCCGCTTTGGTGTCACAGAAAGGGTGGTTTGCTACGAGCATAGTTAGTGTCCAGTGGCTGGGTGGGAACTAGCGCTGCTGAGGCCCAGTTCATTACGGGATTCCGCGCAGGCGGGGGGCAAGAACAAGCGAAGGCATGCAAGCTGCCCGACTGAGTGATATGTATTAGTATCCGGGAGGAAATAAGTTCTCCCCTAGTTTGTCCAGACACTCTCAGTAGTGCGGGAACCGAGTCTATGGTGGGTTGGAGAAACGAGAGTGCGGCTATCACTGCCATGAGGCCAGTGACCCATCACCGCTCCTTGAATCTCTCATTTTGAATTCCAAGTGGTATCACAGCAAGTCGAGTTCATCTCGGTTTCTTATATGGCTGTGGGTCAAAACCCTGTACCCTTGGTGAACATCAAAATAGGTGGCAAATGGATGTTCATCCACCCCAAAATGGGATCGCCATAGGTTATGCAACCCGTGGCCATATGTGTTTTTTGTTTATTATTCTCATTTTAGTGGGGCTAGAGCAAAGTGTTAGGTCCCGAAACTTTTAAGCCCCAGGCTTGATCCGGTGAGCTGCGCTGAGCAGTTTGGAGATCCCAAGCGGTTTTTAGTTTTCCAGTTGCCAGTGAAAGCAACTGTTCTCTTTTTGTTAGAGCTTTTGGAGTTTGTTCCCCAAACAGTGTGTCTACACTAAGGGGTTCTTACGGTAAGAGAAAAGGCCTTGGTGCCAGATTGAGGTGCCCGCTCTGTCCGCGAGCGTTTTGCGTGGTATTTACCGCAGATTCGTGCTCTTGCTTGATGTCGAAGTGCGTTTCGACTGCGCAGGCTCGCACAAAGCGAGGTGTCGACTTCTGTCCGCGAGCGTTTTGCGTGGTATGTACTACCGCAGATTCGTGCTCTTGCTTGATGTCGAAGTGCGTTTCGACTGCGCAGGCTCGCACAAAGTGAGGTGCCGACTTCTGTCCGCGAGTGTTTTGCGTGGTATGTGCCGGAGATTCGTGCTCTTGCTTGATGTCGAAGTGCGTTTCGACTGCGCAGGCTCGCACAAAGTGAGGTGTCGACTTCTGTCCGCAAGCGTTTCGCGCGGTATTTACCGCAGATTCGTACATTTGCTTGATGTTGAAGTGCGTTTCGACTGCGCAGGCTCGCACAAACTCGATTTTTTGCTTTTTTGGCGGCTACAGGGACCGTGGGGGTTTTGTCTCGTGGTCCGGCGGCACGGGTTTCCGGCAAAAGGTTCCGGGCTCGATTGCCGCCCTGTCCGCGCGAGCTTGTTTCCCTTTCTTTGGGCATGCTTGGATGGTGCTTCTGTGCTGCGACGGCTTCTTGATGGTAACAACAACCAAACAGCAACAGCAACAGCAACAGCGCCACATTCATAGAAAGAAAGAAATACAGAGACAAAACAACGAGAACCAAGGAAGAAGCTACCTAGCTAGCTAACTCACTAACTCAGGCACCCTGTTGAAACAAACACACAGATCTTGCCTTTTGTAGTGATGCTTGCGCAGCCATGGGCGCAATAATCTTGGCGACGCTGCTGGAAGCCGCGCCTGCCGATGTGCGCGCGGAATTCGAGCATCTCGGGTCATGTGTCTTGGGAGACTTTGCGGCTGCGCAGGCGGGTGCTTTGTTGGAAGGTTTATCTTCGGATCGACAGGGCTTATGGACGGCGTGCAAGAACGCAGGGATTAGCCGGAAACAAGGTGGGAGAAGTTTGCAGCAGGAAGAGCTTCGGGCGCTGGCGAAGGACAAGCTTCTCGCCGTGCTGCCGGCGGTTTCATTTCAGGCTCTTCTGGACTATGCCGTGCCTGGCGAGATGGGGAGGGAACTCCATGGAAGAGTACGGAATTTTCTTGCGAGATGCTTCGCAGGTCGAGACAGGCAAGTTTGCAGAAGTGGCCGCCACCCTCTTCTGTGTCTCCGCTTCCGAGTTGGAAGTTTTGCGAAACAAGTTGCAAAATGGAGGTCCTTTGACTTTTTTTGCCTTGGAGGCTAATGTCAACGGTGGCGAAGCGAAAATCACGCCGGCTCTGCAAGGCTTTCGCTATGAGACTGCCACTGGAATCCATGCGGCTGCGCTGGCCAATCAAGAGACCGCGCTCTGGGACGCCACGGCAACCTTGCTGACGCAAGAGTGGCAACCTCATAACGCTGCCAAAGACTACGCGTCCGTGCTCGGGCAGCTATCTGTCTGTGCGCTGTTGGACTGCCACACGCAAGAGCAGCAAGAGACAGAGTATTTGCACGGTCGCGTCTTTCAGTTCAACAAATGTCACATTCCGTTTCCACCGCCAGAACACCTTTACGAAGACCGCATTACTGGGCCGCTCGTATCCGCGACTTCTCTGGCTGCTTGGACGTGGGGATTCGGCAGAAAGCAGCGTGTCACCTCGCTGGCCTCGACCCATCCGGAAAGGAAGCAGCCCAGGAGTTCGGTTCCCACTGTGCCGCTGACACTTTGTCTTGGCCGTTGCTGGCCAGTGTAAAGATCTGGGCCACGGTGCGTGATGCAGATGTCGCCGCGACACAAGCTCAAGACAGCCAGTCCGGAATGAAGCGGATGCGCTTTGTTGTGGTGGAAGCAGAAGAACAAGACTTGAAGCAAGAGGCCACGCAGCCTCTTTTGTCTCTCTTGCAGGCGTTGACGCAGATTCCACCAAGCACAGATGCTTTGGTCACCGCGAGGCTGTCAGAGTTGATGACAAACAGTTTTGGAGTTTTTCAAGTGGAGCCAAAGGTTGTGGATGCACGCCTTCCCGGCTTACTTCAAACATCATTTCCCGTGGAGCCAGTGGATGTGGACGCACACCAGGCCGGTTCCCTTGAGAGGGAAGGAAAACGCCGTCGTCTGAGTTGCAACAAAGCCCTGGTCCTTTTTGGTGTCCTCCAAGCGCACCGAACAACAAGAAGCTGCCAGCGGGCTCCGTTTGGTCACCAAAGACACCATCGATGGTTTAGCAGAGGCGGACGCTGCCGCGGCCGAAAAATTCAGCACTGTTTTATGCCTTGGCCATAGCGTGCTCCAAGTGCGACGGAAGGGCAAGCCGAGCTCATTGTGGAACAGCTGCAGCTGCTGCGTGAAGCAGATTTTGACGTGGCCACGAAGTGCATGCGCCAACTGCTCCTGATGTCTAGCGTGACTGCTACGCGCGGACCTCCGCCTGGCACGCATGCTCCCTGGACAGAGTCGACAGCGCCCGCCTTGCAACAAGCCCTTTGCCCAGCTCTGAGTGCATACCCCCGTGGAGAGCCGTGGGCGAATGCACCTACAGCACCGGGCGTACACGCCTGCAGCGACTGAGCGAATCTTGGAACCCTTGCGGCTGCGCAGGCGGGTGCTGGAAGTGTCTCTACGGATCGCTGACGGACGGAATGCAAGCGCGCAGGAGTTAGCCAGAAGCAAGGAGCAGCTGGTTTTGTCGACGCAGACCCACTTCAGCTGCCGTGCTTTGCTCGCGGATAAAAAACAGTCGCGTTCTTGCGCCCCCCGTACGTCGTATTTGCTGCTCCACACACTACTCACGCACGACTCCATGTGTTCCTTCCTCATATTCCTTGTCTTACTGCTTTTCCATTCCTCGTGTATGCACTCAACGTGTCATGTTCCTTGCTGTTCACTGTATAACTCGATAGCGCCAAAGGGCTCAGAGATCTTGCGTGGTGGTGGGTTGTTGCACTACCTGGTTGTCCGCACACGTGCACTAGCTTTGCTTCGATGGCAACGCGGTACTTAGACTAGAACTGCGGTTCAAACATACTTTCACAACTGCATCGCGCCAATTCCTCTCTGTGTCTGCATGTGTGCCTGTATGCGCGTGTCCCTGCGCGTGTCCCTGCGCGTTCCGGCACAAGCTTGCACGTGCGCCGCTGGCGGTTGCGCAGGGACAGCCGATGTCCAACCTTGTGCATAACCAATCGGTGATGCAGCGGATGCGCTTTGTTGTGGTGGAACACAATAAGAAAAGTAGTTAGCCAGAAGCAAGCACAAGCTGGTTCTTTTCGACACAGCCCCACTTCAGCTGCCATGCTTTGCTCGCGGAAAAATGCAGTCGCGTTCCTTTGCCCCCTACTCTGTAATTTTACTCATCCACACACTAGTTACGCACGAAGCCGTGTGTTCCTTCCTCACATGCCTTGTCTTACCTCCATGCTGCATGCAACAACGCTCCTGTGCGTGGAAGTCGTGTCGCTTTGGCTCAGCTCCGTCCTTTTGCCGCCGACACTCTCCGTACTCATGCCTCGACGCTGCCTGACGCATCCGAGTATCGTTGACGCTGAGAACGCCGCGCTCTCGAACAACACTGCGGCTGCGCGTGAAGATGACGCAACGCGCCATGCCTGCTGGCCGCTTGGAGACACGCGGTGCCGCCAATCTGCCGGGCTTTGGACGAGCCCGCCGGAAGCACCCAAGTCGTTCGCCACAGTCAGCTCGCCCCAGCAGAAAGCGCACGTATTCGACCGCCTGCTGCTATGTACCGCGTGCTGTGCGCTCAGGCCGCGTGTCTAGGCGATGTCTGTTTGTTCTTGCGGCTCATGACGACCTGCTGTGCTGCACGTTGCCGCGTCTGGATGCAGCGCGCCCGTGCCGTACGCCAAGAAGTAGAAGCTTACGCAAATTTTATCCTGGCAGCACGGCTGTGGCTGCCAGGGTTCTTGGCGCACGAGTTCATTGACGTGCGTGTGTCTTGGAATGCGCCCGAGTGGATCCATGCACAAATCCGCCTGCCGACTTTCTTTGACAACTCTTTCCGCTGTGCAGACGAAGCTACCATGCAACAGTGGATCGACCAACATCCGCGCCTTCGCGGCCTGCCGCCCCTCGCAGCGCTGCGCCGCATGAACTGCCTCGATAACATGGCGCCACATGAGTTTGACGCCTTCTTGTGCGCCCTGCGATCTGGGAGCGCGCGCTTTATGTACACGCCTGCTGTGGAAGGGTCCGAGCCAGACAGCCCAGTCTTTGGGCCTGCCTTGATAACGCTTCTGTGCTGCGAGAGCTTGCCACTAGCACTCTGCGTGCGCCGCGTCGGCTGTTTGCAGCAACAAGCTACCACGCCTTGACCGCAGCGCCTTTGCATCTACCAACAGACTGGCCTGCTGCGGCTGCGCGCAGTGCCACGCATCTATCCCAGCAGCCCTGTCCTGCGATTCTGCCGTCTCACCGATATGTGCTGCTCATGGAAGAAGAAACGAGCATGCCTGCTGGCCATGCCTGTGCGCCTTTTTTCTTCTTGGTGCTGCATGTGTCTCTACTCCCACACACGTGTCTTCGTCTTTGTGAGTGTGCGCGCAAATACCGCAAAATGATGTTGCAGCTTCCTGACAACAACCGCCATTTTGCGGCGCTGCCCGCACAATACTCTGCAGCGTGTGACCGCCGCTTATCACTGTTTGGGGTCTCGTGCCGGGGTAATTAGAGTTTTGTTAGACTATTTGCCATTTCCTGCTACATGCGTTCCACCGTTGCCACGACTTGTTCCACTTGTTCCACTTCCACGGGTTCAGTTCTATCACTCCGCTTCAACCACTTCTTCCACCACTTGTTGCACACCTTTTTTTTCTTCCTTCGGCCTGCGTGCTCATGGGCAGCAGCTCAGGGTCTTGTCACAATCTGCCCAGGCTCCGTACCGAACTAATTCGTTTTGCCTTATTTGACACGTCTGCGACAGCGAGCCCACAAGGACGTGAACAAACTGTTTCCGTTCGCGCCAAGGGAATCCCCCTTGCAGCGACCACGTCAACAAGTGAACGCTTCTGCAGAAAGCACTGGAGGACCGAACTGGAAGGTGAAGTGGATGCTGCTAGCCCTGATCGAACAAGTAAAACCGTCAAAACAAACAGCAGGCTCCTGTCAAGGAGTGAACTCCATTTGGGTGTCTCGTTTTCTTAGGGCAATGCTCCAAACGTCGTGGCGTTGTCTTTTTGGTTTCACTTTGAATCCCACCAAAAACGGGTACTCCCCCAAAAAAGACAGAACCCACCAAAAACGGGTACTGGGTACTCCCTAAAGACAGATCATGACAGACTCATTTCGGCCAAACTACCTCCCCTCCCCCCACCTCGCCCCCACCCCCCACCCCCACCCCCCACCCCTCGCCCACCCCCACCCACCCCCCCACCCCACCCCCCCCGAAAAGCCGCCCAGGGGAGATGACCCCGGGCAGATCCTGGGCCCGCGCCCGCGCGGTGCGGCGCCTCTGCGGCGCCCTGCCGCGGCAGAAGTTGGCGCCCCACGTCTTCGGAGAGGCCGAGGAGGCGGACGAGCCAAGGCGGAGAAGGGGCCTGGGCGGTTTTTTTAGACATATCCAGCTGAAATTCTGGGGGTTGATTCCAACCATTCTTTTCAACCATCGTTCTTTTCAAACACCAGCCATTTCCCTCGGGTTGTGATGGTTTCCTGAAAAGAAGGATCCCTGGAAAGAATGCTTGAAGGTAGCCCTGGAGAAATTGATTTAAATGTTTGGAGTGTGTCATGGACATCGTCCACTTTCACTTGCAAGAAAAGTGAGAAACAAAAAAACGCAGAAGTTTGGTTTGAGGTTGTGTGCATTCTGCTTGGCTGCTTTGTTGAGTTTGTTTATCTCTTCTACGGGTTGATTCCCCATTTTTTTTAGCCATACTTCTTTTCAAAAAGCCAGCCATTTCCCCAGGGTTTTTTGTTTTTCTAGAAAGAAGGATCCCTGGAAAGAATGCTTGAAGGTAGCCCTAGAGAAATTGATTCAGATGGTTGGAGTGGGTCATGGACATCGTCCTCTTTTACTTGTAAGACTCGTGAAAAAAATACAAAAAAAGAACGGCAAAAGTCTGGTTTGAGGTTGTGTGCATTCTGCTTGGCTGCTTTGTTGAGTTTGTTTATCTCTTCTAGGGGTTGATTCCCCATTTTTTTTAGCCATACTTCTTTTCAAAAAACCAGCCATTTCCCAAGGTGTTTTTTGTTTTTCCAGAAAGAAGGATCCCTGGAAAGAATGCTTGAAGGTAGCCCTCGAGAAATTGATTCAGATGGTTGGAGTGGGTCATGGACATCGTCCACTTTCACTTGTAAGACTCGTGAAACAAATACAAAAAAAGAACGGCACAAGTCTGGTTTGAGGTTGTGTGCATTCTGCTTGGCTGCTTTGTTGAGTTTGTTTATCTCTTCTAGGGGTTGATTCCCCATTCTTTTCAGCCATCGTTCTTTTCAATATCCAGCCATTTCCCCAGGGTTTTTTGTTTTTCTAGAAAGAAGGATCCCTGGAAAGAATGCTTGAAGGTAGCCCTCGAGAAATTGATTCAGATGGTTGGAGTGGGTCATGGACATCGTCCACTTTCACTTGTAAGACTCGTGAAACAAATACAAAAAAACAACGGCAAAAGTCTGGTTTGAGGTTGTGTGCATTCTGCTTGGCTGCTGTGTTGAGTTTGTTTATCTCTTCTAGGGGTTGATTCCCCATTTTTTTTAGCCATACTTCTTTTCAAAAAACCAGCCATTTCCCAAGGTTTTTTTGTCTTTCCAGAAAGAAGGATCCCTGGAAAGAATGCTTGAAGGTAGCCCTAGAGAAATTGATTCAGATGGTTGGAGTGGGTCATGGACATCGTCCACTTTGGCTTGTAAGACTCGTGAAACAAATACAAAAAAAGAACGGCAAAAGTCTGGTTTGAGGTTGTGTGCATTCTGCTTGGCTGCTTTGTTGAGTTTGTTTATCTCTTCTAGGGGTTGATTCCCCATTTTTTTAGCCATACTTCTTTTCAAAAAACCAGCCATTTCCCAAGGTGTTTTTTGTTTTTTCTAGAAAGAAGGATCCCTGGGGAAAGAATGCTTGAAGGTAGCCCTAGAGAAATTGATTCAGATGGTTGGAGTGGGTCATGGACATCGTCCACTTTCACTTGTAAGACGCGTGAAACATTGATTCAGATGGTTGGAGTGAGTCATGGACATCGTCCACTTTCACTTGTAAGACTCGTGAAACAAATACAAAAAAAGAACGGCAAAAGTCTGGTTTGAGGTTGTGTGCATTCTGCTTGGCTGCTTTGTTGAGTTTGTTTATCTCTTCTAGGGGTTGATTCCCCATTTTTTTTTAGCCATACTTCTTTTCAAACAACCAGCCATTTCCCCAGGTTTTTTGTCTTTCCAGAAAGAAGGATCCCTGGAAAGAATGCTTGAAGGTAGCCCTAGAGAAATTGATTCAGATGGTTGGAGTGGGTCATGGACATCGTCCACTTTCACTTGTAAGACTCGTGAAACAAACACAAAAACAACGGCAAAAGTCTGGTTTGAGGTTGTGTGCATTCTGCTTGGCTGCTTTGTTGAGTTTGTTTATCTCTTCTAGGGGTTGATTCCCCATTTTTTTTAGCCATACTTCTTTTCAAAAAACCAGCCATTTCCCAAGGTGTTTTTTGTTTTTCCAGAAAGAAGGATCCCTGGAAAGAATGCTTGAAGGTAGCCCTCGAGAAATTGATTCAGATGGTTGGAGTGGGTCATGGACATCGTCCACTTTCACTTGTAAGACTCGTGAAACAAATACAAAAAAAGAACGGCACAAGTCTGGTTTGAGGTTGTGTGCATTCTGCTTGGCTGCTTTGTTGAGTTTGTTTATCTCTTCTAGGGGTTGATTCCCCATTTTTTTTAGCCATACTTCTTTTCAAAAAGCCAACCATTTCCCAAGGTGTTTTTTGTTTTTTCTAGAAAGAAGGATCCCTGGAAAGAATGCTTGAAGGTAGCCCTAGAGAAATTGATTCAGATGGTTGGAGTGGGTCATGGACATCGTCCACTTTCACTTGTAAGACTCGTGAAACAAACACAAAAACAACGGCAAAAGTCTGGTTTGAGGTTGTGTGCATTCTGCTTGGCTGCTTTGTTGAGTTTGTTTATCTCTTCTAGGGGTTGATTCCCCATTTTTTTTAGCCATACTTCTTTTCAAAAAACCTTCCATTTCCCAAGGTTTTTTGTTTTTTCTAGAAAGAAGGATCCCTGGAAAGAATGCTTGAAGGTAGCCCTAGAGAAATTGATTCAGATGGTTGGAGTGGGTCATGGACATCGTCCACTTTCACTTGTAAGACTCGTGAAACAAATACAGAAAAACAACGGCAAAAGTCTGGTTTGAGGTTGTGTGCATTCTGCTTGGCTGCTTTGTTGAGTTTGTTTATCTCTTCTAGGGGTTGATTCCCCATTTTTTTTAGCCATACTTCTTTTCAAAAAACCAGCCAAGAAGGATCCCTGGAAAGAATGCTTGAAGGTAGCCCTAGAGAAATTGATGGTTGGAGTGGGTCATAGACATCGTCCACTTTCACTTGTAAGACTCGTGAAACAAATACAAAAAACAACGGCAAAAGTCTGGTTTGAGGTTGTGTGCATTCTGCTTGGCTGCTTTGTTGAGTTTGTTTATCTCTTCTAGGGGTTGATTCCCCATTTTTTTTAGCCATACTTCTTTTCAAAAAACCAGCCAAGAAGGATCCCTGGAAAGAATGCTTGAAGGTAGCCCTAGAGAAATTGATGGTTGGAGTGGGTCATAGACATCGTCCACTTTCACTTGTAAGACTCGTGAAACAAATACAAAAAACAACGGCAAAAGTCTGGTTTGAGGTTGTGTGCATTCTGCTTGGCTGCTTTGTTGAGTTTGTTTATCTCTTCTAGGGGTTGATTCCCCATTTTTTTTAGCCATACTTCTTTTCAAAAAGCCAACCATTTCCCAAGGTGTTTTTTGTTTTTTCTAGAAAGAAGGATCCCTGGAAAGAATGCTTGAAGGTAGCCCTAGAGAAATTGATTCAGATGGTTGGAGTGGGTCATGGACATCGTCCACTTTCACTTGTAAGACTCGTGAAACAAATACAAAAAAAGAACGGCAAAAGTCTGGTTTGAGGTTGTGTGCATTCTGCTTGGCTGCTTTGTTGAGTTTGTTTATCTCTTCTAGGGGTTGATTCCCCATTTTTTTTAGCCATACTTCTTTCAAAAAACCAGCCATTTCCCAAGCTAGAAAGAAGGATCCCTGGAAAGAATGCTTGAAGGTAGCCCTAGAGAAATTGATTCAGATGGTTGGAGTGGGTCATGGACATCGTCCACTTTCACTTGTAAGACTCGTGAAACAAATACAAAAAAAGAACGGCAAAAGTCTGGTTTGAGGTTGTGTGCATTCTGCTTGGCTGCTTTGTTGAGTTTGTTTATCTCTTCTAGGGGTTGATTCCCCATTTTTTTTAGCCATACTTCTTTTCAAAAAGCCAGCCATTTCCCAAGGTGTTTTTTTTGTTTTTCTAGAAAGAAGGATCCCTGGAAAGAATGCTTGAAGGTAGCCCTAGAGAAATTGATTCAGATGGTTGGAGTGGGTCATGGACATCGTCCACTTTCACTTGTAAGACTCGTGAAACAAATACAAAAAAAGAACGGCAAAAGTCTGGTTTGAGGTTGTGTGCATTCTGCTTGGCTGCTTTGTTGAGTTTGTTTATCTCTTCTAGGGGTTGATTCCCCATTTTTGTTTAGCCATACTTCTTTTCAAAAAGCCAGCCATTTCCCAAGGTGTTTTTTTTGATTTTTCTAGAAAGAAGGATCCCTGGAAAGAATGCTTGAAGGTAGCCCTCGAGAAATTGATTCAGATGGTTGGAGTGGGTCATGGACATCGTCCACTTTCACTTGTAAGACTCGTGAAACAAATACAAAAAAAGAACGGCAAAAGTCTGGTTTGAGGTTGTGTGCATTCTGCTTGGCTGCTTTGTTGAGTTTGTTTATCTCTTCTAGGGGTTGATTCCCCATTTTTGTTTAGCCATACTTCTTTTCAAAAAGCCAGCCATTTCCCAAGGTTTTTTTTGATTTTTCTAGAAAGAAGGATCCCTGGAAAGAATGCTTGAAGGTAGCCCTAGAGAAATTGATTCAGATGGTTGGAGTGGGTCATGGACATCGTCCACTTTCACTTGTAAGACTCGTGAAACAAATACAAAAAAAGAACGGCAAAAGTCTGGTTTGAGGTTGTGTGCATTCTGCTTGGCTGCTTTGTTGAGTTTGTTTATCTCTTCTAGGGGTTGATTCCCCATTTTTTTTAGCCATACTTCTTTTCAAAAAGCCAGCCATTTCCCAAGGTGTTTTTGTTTTGTCTAGAAAGAAGGATCCCTGGAAAGAATGGAATTGGAAGTTACCCCTAGATCTCAGTTTCTTCGTTCCCACTTTTCCGTGAGGCCGGAGCCGGAGCGCGAGCTTGGCGCGCGGGACCGCCAGAGCTGGGCCTGCGAGGTGGTGCTGCAAAGCCCCGGCGAGCCTGAGGCGGTGCTGCAGGCGTCGGAGGGCTCGGGCGGGTTGGAATCCACCGGGTGTTGGGAGGCCTTTCTCATGTGAAGCCAACTAGGTCCCCCAGTAGTGCGCTTTTACCCTTCTTTGAGGGGAGGGTTCCCCCACTAAAATAGACTACAGGAAAAAGGGTACCCTTATTCTATCCTCTCTAGTGGAGGACCTAGACGGGTGTGTTGGGTGTCCTTTCTCATTTGAAGCCAGGCCCAAAACGGCTAGCCTCAACAAAAACCACCCTGTGCCCTATTTTTTCCCGCTGGGTTGGTGTAAACATTGACCCGTTGGGCGAGTTTGCTTTGGCAGGGGGTGATGTTTGAATGAGAGGGACATATATGGGTAAGTAGGGACCCTTTGGTGGACGTCATTTAGGTGGGGATTTATGTCCACCATCCATTTTTCAGGGGGTTCCCCATTAAAAAACATAGACATATATATATTTATATACATATATATGTGGAGGTGGGGTCAGCCTGATCAAGGGCAACCGCCAGCTGAGCCAGAAGCAAAACCCGCCAGGGAGTTGAAGGGGAGTAGGGGACAGTCCCAACCATAGAGAGGAGCGTCTATTCCTATTCCTTACATGGATTTGGGTGCATCATTTCAGTACTGGGTTAGATTGTGACTCTTTGGGTCCTGTTTGGTGTCAGCTTTGAAAACTGATCATGGTTGCTCCGAGCCTTTAACAGGTGACAAGGCTAGAAGGTTGGTTTTGTTGCCTTTCCCTGAATGGACCAAGTTTCTACTCTTGGGTTTTTTGGGAACATCCCTAGCTTCATCTAGCACCCATCCAAATAATCTAATATATTCCAAAAGGACACCTCCGGTCATTTGTTTGGGCTTTGACGAGCCTGATTCTGAGATGGAAGGTTGATGAGTCCTTTTCTATTCGGTGGCAAAAGCGATTTCACTCCTTCAGAGTATAGGCAGAACATACACGGAGGACCTATCTCACCATGTCAAAGGAGCCTCCAAGAACTGGCCTTGATTTCATGTTGCGAGACTGACACTGATAGCCGCAGGTAGATGATTACTTTGAGTACTGTATTTCCCTGATAGTTCCACCATGGTTTTAGCCTTTGACGCGGGGAGCCGTTAATTCAGCTTTGGGAATTCGTGTTGACTTTGCGAATCGTTTGGGCGAGTCGCTTCATCTCAGCGCAAACGATTGAGTTTTTCACTCTTTGCCTGGGCCACCCCTTCCGAGGCCTTTGAGGATTTCCACGTCCAGTGTGGCTCATTCTGCAGACGGAACAGAGTGGAGGGATGCCTGAGACAAGCGGAAAGGGTCAAATGCTGGATGTGGGGACCCGCTGAGGTTGCTAAGGGGCCCTTCGTTTGACAACCTCCATGTGGCTCGGTGTTGGAAGTAGGGGTTCATCACAATCTATCCATGTTTATCCGTTCAACTGGTGCGTTTGCTTCTAGTGTCCTTTTGACGCTTACGCAGGACATCCCTGATGTTGAACGAAACAAATGGAACAATGGAGCTGCTGGGAACCCCTCCCACTTTCCTAAGAAGATACTAAGAAGTACCAAAACAGATCAGGAAAACCAAGAGGGGTGCTAACTAAAAAACAAAACAAAAACAACACGAGCCACCCATTTTCCCCTCGCAAGTTGTCCAACTTCTCTCTCCCCGATTTCATGGACTATACACTTCACACTTTTTTGGTAACTGGCCATATTTTAGTGGCAATGGTCACTTCTTTTGGCCAGTCCACTCAGCCCTAGGAGAGAACCAGCCAGGGGGAAAAAATAAGAAGAAGAAGCAACACAACACTTCCGCCGTGAGACATTTCCCGCGGAAATCGCTGGATGTCTTAAAATGGACCCCGTCTAACTTGAACTTGTTGGTCTCCTCTTGGTGTCCACTCCTTCGGGTTAGTGCGACGTTTTGCCCCCCGTCTAACTTGTTGGTGTCCTGGGCTTGGCCCGCCCTCGCGGCCGGATCGCGTCAGAACTCGCTCGCTGGATCTGAGGTCGGCCGCTGCTGCAGGTGGGCCCTGTGAAGGGCCGGCACCTGGACGCCGCGGTGCGCCGCAGAAGGCCCAGGCGCTGCCTGGAGCTCGGCAGCTTCCTGGGCTACTCCGCCGCCCGGGCGCCTAGCGGAGCTGGTCCCTCTCGGACGGAAGGGGTGGCCCATAGATCTTGGAGATAGGGAGCCTAAAATTCTGGTTAAGTTAAAATTCGTAGGGTTCATGCAAAAACCTGGGGTAGACCAACTACAAGGAAGTTTATTTGTTTGCTCCTCAGGGAAAGAATCATTCAAAAGAGCCTTTGAACCTCTGAACCTTTCGGACGATGACGCTTTCCCTGAATAGCACGCACAAACCCCTCACTTCCCTGGTTCTGGACTTTCTGCACTTTTTGGGAACACCATGCTGGACGGCATGCTCACAAACTAACATGGTTTTGTGCTGGGGAATTTGCGAAGGGTGGGAGTCCACCCGTCCATTTGCTTAAGATGTGTGGCTGTTTGTCTTTCCCCTGCTGGTTTTTGGCAAATATCTGATTTCTTTGTGGCACCGTATGCAAATGCATCTGGCTAAATTATAGCAATCCCACTGGCCTCAGGCGAGCCCCTACCCAAAATTACGAGGTAGTTGCCGAAACAAGGGTTTCTCAAAGCTGTATTCATTGTGTGTTTTTCGGCGCACCGGGGCTTCATCTTCGACGGAACGCGAGCGCAAAAATCCGACCCCCCCTTGTCTCTCATTAAGACTGGCATCAGGTTCTCCAAAATCCTTATTTGGCCCTAAAGAGCTTTAGAACACACTTTGGAGAAAATCCGACCCCTGTCTTTCAGAAGGTTCTCAAAACCAGCCGCATCTTCTTATTTGGCATTAAAAAGCTTGAACACACCCATTTGAGAGAATCCGACCCTTCTCTGTCGCTCATTAAGACTTAGAAAGCTTGCAAGCGCACGCGTTTGCATAAACCTTCCGTTTTTGCTTATTTGGCCCTAAAAAGCTTGAAAACACACACGTTTGAGAAAATCCGACCCGTGTCTTTCATCAGGTTCTCCAAAACCAGCCGTTTCTGCTTGTTTGGCCCTAAAAAACATGAGCACGCACACAATTGAGAAAATCCGACCCGTGTCTTTCATCAGGTTCTCCAAAACCAGCCGTTTCTGCTTGTTTGGCCCTAAAAAGCATGAACACGCGCACGTTTGAGAAAATCCGACCCGTGTCTTTCATCAGGTTCTCCAAAACCAGCCGTTTCTGCGTGTTTGGCCCCAGAAGCATGAACACGCACACGTTTGAGCAAAAAAAGATACAACAATACACCTGGCTCAAGTTTTGCACCCTTTTTGAAGAGGCAAGGAAGGCCGCGAAAAACCGAGGTTCGAGGCGGACCCTTAGTTTTGCGAGCTATGATTTGTTTCCCCCTTTCTTTCCAGGTAGGAGGTAGAACATATTATAATTTAGCCACAATACATGCCAATCATTCTCTTCAGAAATCCTTCTTTCAGAGATCACCCATTCTGCTCGGGATTTTGGCTACGTCCACGGATTGAAGAGAAGTATCCCTGAAGAGAACGGAACAGGAGGGTGCGGCTAAATCAAGCAAGACCAATATGTTTGCCCACTTTGTTGCTGTGTAACGTGTTCAGACAAGAGCTGAAGTCAGGTCGAAGTTAAGCCACGGATTTGTTTTGCCCTCCGCGTGCCGAGGTGCGCATTGCTCGACTCCTGGACGAGACTCCATCGCACCTTTTGATAGTCTTTGAGCACTACGTTTTGGGTCAATTGAACATGAGCGCTCTTTTGGTGGGGTGATGTTTAAAGGGGAAATACGGCAACCCGCTAGCATCCCGTCTTTCCAACAGTCATAGAAGTGGACACGAGGGCTTGAACAACTTGCATCCCAACAAAGACCCCTTATCCACTTCCACAATTGTTTAAAAAAAAGTATGTGTTTGCTCCATGTTGCATTCATTGAGGATGGTGCTTTCTTGTACACCATCGAGCAAGACGCTGACAACGCGGCTCGCACCGCTGCAACTCTCGAGCAGCGCGGCGGCAATTTGTGTTTGCCTATTCACGGGTAAAAAGAGGTCGGCATGATGACGGCCCTTGACTCGGGGATCCCTGAATTTAGGTTTTGGAAGGATTTGCACAATGGGTGCAGGACTTTAAGGATCAAACCCAAATCATTTGCTGAACGATTTGCACCCATTGCATGATTTGCACCTGCCTAGGTTTTTGAATTTCGGTCTTGGAACGTGCAAATATCACTTGCTGCCATGGGTGCCGAGAGGTCGGTCTCAGCATGGCCCCAGTGGCCTGAGAGCGTGTTGCTGAGTCTTTCCGGGCGTGGGATCGGCGTGGAAAAGACCCCTTGTGCGTGTGCGGTGGGAAGATGACCCATAGCTGCTGTAGTTCACCATATCCCCTCCCCCAAAGAGGTGCCCCACAGAAAGTGGGGAGTTTAAGGCCTTGAACAAGGGATCCCTATCCGCAAAAAGATCAGGTGAAGGGCTTCGGACGAGCAGTCGGTTCGGGTCGGTAACAGCGCGAAGTGAAAGCATGAACAGTTGGCAGTTGGCAGTTGGCACTGGGGTTGACCCCTCCTGAAGTTAGGCATGGGTATAGGTGCCCTAACCTGCAATGTGTGCGCACCAGCTTTGCTCGCACGAATCATTCCGCGAGGTCACTGCCTTCGGGGTGAAAACGGACTCACCTATGAGAACAGTGGGAAGGGGTTGCAGGAACAATCAAAGGGACAGGTTCTGGAAATTTGATAGACGCGGGAATCTGGAGATGCCTTCCAGGGTCAAGCCTTCCGAACTTCAGAGTAAATGACGACTCGAAGCCACTATGAGGCTTCCGTAATCTCGACCCTTCTGTAAAAGACGTTTCCCTGGTTTCTATGACATCCTATAGGGAATCTCCTTTTATGGTCCTGTTTTAGTTTCCCATACCATTCGAACAGTGTCTGTATTTCAGGAAACTGCCGTGATGAAAGTCTTCTGAGGCACCCCGCCACAATAGCCCTCTCCAATCAGGCTTCCCTTTCGGTCTATGTAGCCTTTGCCAAGGTGGGTGTTTGGGAGGTGCATTTGAAGAAGGGGGTGGCCCGCAAGGACAGTGTTAATCCAGTAGACGTCTGTGTTAACGTGGATGTCTTCTACAATAAAAAGCCTGTGTTGGATGGTGTTTGAACCAAGGCAGAAAGGCAGCAAGCCATTTTGAATCATCCATGTGCACGTCGCCAGGCACGCTGGGCTTACGGGCAAGGCCACAGCGCTGTGTGGCACCTTGCAGACGCTGCAGCCACCGGGCAGCAAGGTCCAGGTATTCTGTAGAGGAGCCAAGATCAAAGCCCTGGGAATGCAAGGATTGACTCCAAAGCGAATGTCAAGAATATCTCAAGCTCTCATTTCTTGTATTTGTTGAGCTTTTATTCAACACATCAGTAGCTTAGACACCGTGTGTTTTGAGTCAATACGAAAAATTGGGGTGCCGATCTCCGGATGAAATGTAATTTGGGGGGGTATAGAGCTCCCATCAAGTACCTCCAGTGGCAATTGGACGGTGTCCACCTTTTACATTACGAGTTCGAAGCGAGAGCAATGGGCAGGGCCAAAACCGAGCTTATGATGAAGATGTTTGGCTTGAGTATCCCTTATGCACTTGTCTCACATGCCCAGGCCATATTTCAGGGAGAACTCCTTTGAAATGGATGGAGTTTCAAGAGAGAAGCCACATTCATGCCTGCTTCCAGTGGCCAGGTTTCTTTTTGGGGGGCTCCGTCCCTGAGTTCCTAATGGCTTGAGTACCATAGTGGCGACCAAAAAGTCGGACTTTGGCCAATGAGGAAGTGAGGGTTCAAAGGATCCATGTTTCTTTGGGCACAGTGTCCAAAGCATAGGTGTCCTTTTTGGTTGTTTCGGTAGGAACATAGATGGCCCTGGTTTATCTGGCATTTTAATCATCTACCAGAGATCTGTTTACCCAAAAAGGACACCTATGGTCCAAAGCCGAAGGGATTGGTGTTCTTTCTTCGTTTGGAGAGTGCCCCTCAGCAAGGTGCCAGCTGGAGGGTCCCTTTGAGCTCATTTTCCTGGACCACTCCAAGGCGCTGTACCTCGATGAGATCCAACACCTGGAGGCATGGCGGGGTTCGAAAGCGCCCAAAACCCTAGCAACATTCCAGGTTTGAATCCTACCTGGTTTAGGCGGAAAGGCAAGCCCTACAAAAACCTTCATAACCATTGAATACAACAAGGAGTCGGCTCGGGTGTTGGGCGCTAGGTGAAAGTTTGGGCCAGGCCAGAAGGGAGTTCCTCGAAGGGAGTTTCCGCGAATGGGAGGTTTAGAGGTTCTATGTTACAATGTTCTGAGTGAGCAGCCAGACCTTCGGACCCTTCAGCGGAACCGAGAGGGTTGTTTGAACTGTAGGCGTTAAAACGTTGACAGGAACGGGTTGGTGTGCCCACTTCCATTCACACCAAGTTCTGCTCCGACATGAGGTCATGTTCGCGTAACGTGTCCGTGGTCCATTTGGGGTTTGGGAAGCGGGGGACCGGGGCTCATGTGTCTTTTTGCTGAGTGTTGATGCCCTTTTTTTGGGTGTTGTTTTGAAAGCTTGGAGGTTCCCCTGTTTTGAGACAACCTCATTTGCTTCCCCAAAACTGGCAACACCAAGTATGCCTTAAAAAGATGAACAGCTGCAAAGAGGGACCACTGTGTTTTTTTTGGACGGGCGATGTCGCAAAAGAAGAGAAGCCGCAGAGGACCAAACGGCCTGAGGTCTATGGTTTTCACGTTGCGGGCATTGTACTGCTTGAATGAGGTGTCTTTTCTTTAGTTGTAACAGTGTAGCCTCATGAGTGCTCATGCGTTTACTAGTTGCATGGAACCCGTAGCCACAAAGTTTTGTCAGCTGCCAGGTGGGATCGTACCCATGGCGCCATGTCGCCACGTTGCCATGGGGTTTTCAGGCGCTGGGCTTCATCGAAGATGGCACCACGGTGGTTGCGGACAACATCGGCGGCTGCAACCGGGGGGACTGCCGCAGGGCGCCCCAGACGGACGCCATAGCCCCAAGTGAAACGGGGTGCATGCCGAAATGGTGTTACTTCTGAATTCTTCAGGCCCTTCAAAATGCGTGCACTTGCTGTTTGAAGTAGCAGCCTTTCCCCTTCAAATCCTGGTAGCACATTGACCTCTCAATGGGCCTCGCCCATGTTAGCCACATGGTTCGCAACAGTGGCCTGAGCGCCGTGCGAAAGCCGGGCTTACCCGAGGTCGGGTGAGTTGCGGTTGCGCCTATGCGAGACCCGGCTGCCAGTGGGGCGTTCTTGTTTTCCTATTCGGTGTTTTTGGTATAGTTCAAGGATTCGAACTTTGTAAAGGATGAACAGCCGAATGAAGTTGGGGTAGGTTTCTTGAGGGTACACGTTTTGGGGCTGTTCTTGTCGGGACGCAAAGGAATCCCCCAGTAGGCCCATCGCGGTTGGGCAGTTTGGTTCCCTTTGAAACAACAGGTGCCCGGGGGCCCCTGGGGTTTGTTTGGTGAAACCAAGGGAATCCCTTGCAAGCAAACTATGGGCATAGTCAATCAGACGGAGTCAGGGACACTGCTTTGATGGTTTGTTTTCCCCATCTTTGGGAGGTGGACTCGCCTTGTTGCCTTGATTCAATCCTCACTTCCCGAGTTCCTGGACTTTATACTTTTTGGACGACCATGTTCGTGGCCAAAAACATGTTCAGACTTTATTTGGACCATCCACTGGGGAAGTTGGACCCTTTGACGCCTTTAAAAGAAAGAACGGGTAACTTCCCAGGGATCCTTTTCAAGCCAGCCAGCATCCAAAACGGGAACGTTTGGTGCATGCAAAGGATGATCTCAAATGCGGAGATCAATCAGGGTTATAAGAAAACCCCTGCAAACACGTTCAAAGCACTGCCACTATTGCTTAGACAGCATCCTTTTGGCTTTTCTTTTGAGGTGAGAGGCTGTGCTTAAGCACATCGTGCCCAACCTAGGGGAACCCAACAGTGTTTAATCAGCATCCTTCCAGTTTCGGTTTAGCTGTGTCAAGCGCTCGAACCTTCCTACAATCAAGACCCGGGTAGTTGGAAGGTAAGGCGGAAAGCCGCCTTTTCAATTCTTGAAGCATGGTTGCGGGGATCTATCGGGTTTTCATTATGACTCAACTGGCGCCCAAGAAATGGGTCGCCCTCCCGAATTCCAGATTCCTCTTCAAAACACTCAGTGGGGGCGGGGGAGGGGGGAAAAAGTAGAGCAACTGGCGCCGCAGGTTTTTGGTTTGCACGGCCCTTTTCTGACCCAAGGAGATATGTGCGAAGCTCCGGGCGCTATGTCTCGGAGTTCTTCTGGGGCTCTCGGGACCGGAGCCGGATCGATATGTCGCCAATCGAGGCGTCAAGGGATTGGTTCTCATTGGATTCCCTTTGGAAAACCTTTGTTGGATCACCACCTAAAGACTATGAGTACCGGACTCTTTGTTCAACCATGCTTTGTTTGGCACCATTTTGGGTGAGGATTGTTTACCCTCATACCATGGAACCTGACGAAAGGGCATGGTCAACCGTTTAGGTCCTTTCGGTAGAGATGAACACTTCCCACGTAGGGAACTTGCTTGTTGTATGTTGTGTACGTCTGATTCCATGGAAGTGCCCGATTTTATGTAGTCTTTATTGGAATCTGGTTGACTCTCATTCCGGTAGCTAGAGGGAAACCAAGTGGATATTTAAAGAAAGCCAGTGGGTGGTTGGCAGGGTAGTTGTGAGGGGTAGTTGAACAGAAACCAAGAGGAGACCAGGGCCACGATTTTGAAAAGCCTCCAAAGAGGCTCTGCTCCATTTGTTTAAGGTGATGTGTTCTCTGGTTTAAAGGTGGTGGACCTCCGCTTGTGCGAGGCGATGTGTGGTTGGGATCTGATGTCAAGGAAATTTGTCAGGACTGGTACATGTGTCATTTTTTGGTACCGTATGCAAGTGCAAGAATGGAATGTCCCCGCCAGTCTTCAAAGGTTCCATGTACGTTTGGAAGGAGATGATTCCCATATCCCTTTTGGGTGTTCGGTTCTGTATTAAAGCAAGGGCTCGATAATCGGTTTGGTTCCGGCAGGGTGGAGAACAACCAACAAAACAAAGAAGCGCCTATAGCTTCAAGCAAAACAAAGGCATCCATGTGTTTGTGAGAGGGGTTCCCAAAACAGAGACTAGGTCCCCCAGTAGAGCCCTTTTATCCTTTTTTGGGGAAGGGTCCCCTGCTAAAATAGACTACAGACAAAGGGGCACCCTTATTCTAACTTCTCTACTGGAGGACCTAGGAGATCTCAGTTCGCCCCAAAAGACGCGGGGCCGCTCGCAAGGATGGCATCGAGGTCTCCGTGGCTCAAGGGAGAGGTTGCCAGGCGACGCGCTCCGCCGCTCCGCGCGCGCCATGTGGGCGGCAAAGTATGGGCCCCCGTTTTTGGAGGTTTTCATGCAACAACAACATGGAAACCAAGCACTTGGACTTGGAGACTTTGCGGAGGTAACCCATTTTTTGAGACACACCTAACATGGCATCGGGGGCGGGAGGGTAGTTGTCTTTCACATATGGCCCCATACCCGCCCCAGGTGCTTTCTGGACTGAACACTTGCCCGATCTTAAGGGGTCATGGGAGCAACCGTCCATAATCTCAACAACCTTTTCCTACAACTGGCCACCTTGATCGAAAGGCTGCATTCCCGTGGACAGCACAGATAGTCACTCAAAAGAAGCGGGCTTGCGGCTTGCGTCATTCTTAAACAGGTTTCCTGTCCAAGAGGAACCTCCTCGGGCATTTTGGTGAGACATGGATTCCACTAGTGTCGGTGTGGGTTAGTTTAAGGCTCGTTCGTCCACATTTTGGTGTGGATGAAATTCAAGCAGCTGGGGTTACCCAGGTCTTGGTCTTTGTTTCCATAGACCAAGGTGCCATTTTGGTGGAACTCAATACAAGTTTCATAATATCTTTGATATCATAAAACTGGTATTGAGTGCCAAATGGTACATCCTTAAAGCCTTTCCATACACCAAGGTGCCATTTGGGGTACGTTTTTCAGCCACAGCCCCTTTAATTTCTCCGGACTCGACGTAGGCAGCCAGCCAACCCCCGGTGTCGCTGGAGGCCTCCGCCGAGCACCTCGGAGGCGAAGACATGCGAAGGCACATAACATCAATGGGAGAAGGAAACCAATGGGAACCAGATTGAAAAATGGTCTCGCAAAAGGAACCTTGGTAGACTTAGGATACATTTTGCATTTTACCAGTGACTCAAAGTGAAGCAACCCGTAAAATATACGTTCTATAACCGGGCCTAACTCTAATCATGGTTCGTCCCGCCCCCAAAGTCAGGCTTTTCACCGGGAGCCTTGGCTTTTTGTCATGGGTTTTGGGCGGGCCTTTGCAAAGGGAATTCTGAGAACGAACCATGCAAGGACGACTTGCATGGTTGTGGGAAAAATGAGTTCTGGGAAAAATGAGTTTGCTTTTCTGTGGCACCCTTGCGGAATCCTCGTGACAGCGTAGTCATTGGGATGGAAATCCTACATTGCCTCTAAGACCTGGTTGGAGTCAACTTTGGTTGCCCTTGGCAGCCTGTGAGACAAGGGGATTCCATATGATCCAGCCAAAAGGGAAGGCATGACATCCAGTTGCCCATGAAGCCAAAGCATCTGGATGCAACTACGAATGAGCCCAACGGCGTTGCCGAAAACGCCAAACCAAGCGCCGGCCAAAGGTTTGCCATGGTGCAGGGCGTGGGATCGGGAAAGCTTATGAGGAGAATCCAATTTGGATGGGTTTACAGAAATCCAGAAGACCTGGATCAGCCATTCGGGCCCATTCCTATGAGAACTCGTATGTCCTTTTTGGGAGGCTCGGCTCAGGCGGCAGAAGCGCACACCGACCATGCAGGGCTAAGGTTGGCTCCTGAGTTCTTCTTATGGAGCTTCCCTGGAAGAAGGAATCCCCACCACGAATCGGTCGAATTTCACCCCCCCCTCCAAAGAAAAGAACAAGGACGGATTTTTCAACTGAGAGATGCTTGCTGTTGCACTGGAGAGCCCTGTTGTGGAGGTAAGTGCCAACGAAACTGATCCACCCTTTCGGTGTACCAGTGCTTTCCAGAAGGATGGTGTTTGGCGAAGATTCCTTGCAACCTGCAACTGGTCTGGGAGGCAATTCCACCAAGGACTCGGGCTGCCGCTCAGCTTTTGCCTGACGACAGCTCCGAAAAATGAGCGGCCGCGGCACATTTCTACAGAGGGCCGAGAGAGAGGGCTCGCCATCCATTTTTTGGGGGACAGGCAGATATCAACATCAGGTTTGCCACCATTTTGTTCCAGCTGTTTTGAGGGGGCGAATCTCGGGGTCCGCAAGTTTTCGGGGCGTGCTCCCTTAGCCCCACCCCCATGAATCGATGGTCAATCGGGCCTTTACCCAGTTGGGCAGCATCTGAATATGGGTCAAAATAAAGCCACCAGGAGTTGGACAGCAGGTTTTGGTCTTTGGTTACCCTTTTATCAGGGCAACCCATTTTGGGTAACCAGTTTTGACCCACAGCCACCTGGATATAATTGAGGCAGACATTAAGACCCATCTGAAGCAACACCAACCAAATGCTGCAGTCAGGTTGGCACTTTTACTGCACAATACCACAACTTTCGTGAAAGTATCATGGGGTGTGCCAATCATGTTATTGTGAGCGTAATTGTGTTTTTTTGTCCCATGTGTTGACATGTTTCATGTGTTGTTTCAGTTTGTGTCATGTTGTCTTTTTTTTAGGTTTTTGGGTTTGTAATTAATGTGTTCATATTGTTTTTGCATGTTTGTCCATTTATGTTTTTCATTGTGTGTTCTTGTTGATTTTTGACATGTTTCGTCATCTCACGTTTCTTGGACCGAGGACGTCGAGTTCGGCTGGAATTAGTTGGGGCCTGGGCGTTAAAACAGTTAAATATCCTGTTCCTCCAGAGTTTCTATCCCTACCTTGTACTTCGGGATGTTGCCCTGTTATCGCGGGAGTTTGACCTAGTTTTACCTAGCTGCGGTGTACCGTATTGATTGTTTTGCCTATTCTGTATTCGCCGAATTCTACCCTTTTTGTTTTGGGATTTGCCTCCCCCAAACTGCCTCCAAGACTGGGTTGTTCGAACTCAAGCCTCGGTCCTGCTATATGGCCGTGGGTCAACACCAATGGTATACATTTTGGGGTAGGTGCACCACCCATTTCATAACCTGGATCGGGGTGTTCACTGGGGGTACGATTTGGGTTTGACCCATAGCCATATGTTTCTGGTTTCTCTTGTGGCGTCCTACCGATGCGGACGTAGGACTCCTGCGTGGGCCCCTATGTGGTGGACCTGGCCGTATGCGCCAGCGCCTGCTCCTTTAGCGCCTGCTGGCTGAAGAAAGAAGTGACGTCTGCTTGTGTGTGCGTGTATGTGTTTTTATTTGAGGGCAGCCTTTTAAGGTGGTCTTGATCTGAAAACAAAATGTGTTTTATTTGAGGGCAGCCTTTGGGTGGTTTTGAAGGGAAAACAACTGGGAATCAGGCTTTCTGTTGGGGGGGCTCCTCATTTTGAGACAAATCCAGATTTGCTCTGGACAAACGAGCTTTGCTAGTTTGCGAAGGGATCGCCTGTTAGCAGTGGGAGTGAATCATAGTGACTTGCCTAGATATTTGGGCAGTGACTAAAATTGAAACCAAAGAAACATGTTATTCTGTTTTCCTTTACAACTAGTCGGCTGGGAAGGCCCGTTTTTGGGGTCTAAAAAGTCAAAACTGTTCCTTGCCAGGTGGAAGAGACTGTTACTTGTTGCTTGACGGACTCCACTTAAAGGCCCCTGCGAAGGCTACTACAAATGTTGCTTAGTGACCCTCTATTGCAACAGCCCGCAATCTCCGGAGAAGCATCGATTTCATGAATCTATGTCCCATGTTTTGGGGACCAGTTCAGCCTGCGATGATTTTAGGTGGGGTGCAACTGTTTCACTGATTTTAGAGAGGGTCTGGATCACGTTGGGGGGAGACCCCGTATTTAGCGCAGCTCGGTTTGCTCATCCGGGGTGCATTCAGGGCAGGGCTCCACTTCAGGTACAAACAGAACAGCCCGATGTCAGGTACCACTATTCGACGGGGGGGGGGGAGCGACATTTGTTTTTTGTCATCAGGACGTACCAAAACATGTTTGACCCATCCGTCAACTGGGAAGAAGCTTCCTTGGTGGCAAACAACGGTTTTTGAAACCCAGAAGCCTTGCTAATGTCTCTGTGTTGGTAGCAAACTCGGCAACACATGCGCGGTTGCCCGCTGACAGGCGTCTCAAAAGCGCGACAATGTTGAGGCAGAATAAATCGTAGCCTCGCCGACCGAAGGTTTGCGACAAAGGCACCCATGGTGACAGTTTCTTTCCAGGCAGCCCGTGTCTTACTTCAGGTTGGTGAATGAGCACCCCCAGACAGGATGGTTCGGAGATTGAATCTTAAAGGACAGAACAAATGCAACCAAATGGTGCATGAGTTTGAAAGATCACCCGCGGATGTTTGAGTGCGAGCCAAGCCGTTGGCAGGCCCTTTTGTTCAACCAAAGTTATTGGCCTTACTGTTTAAGAGAAAGGACACACAGCTTCGACTTCCTATGTTTTTTACTCTTGCTTACTTGCTGTGTCTCTGTGAGGGTACCCCGTTTTTGGGGTTGGTTTGGAGCCTTGCTTAAGACAAGCCCACTTTTCACAACCGTCCCAAAAGGGAGACTAGAATGGCAGTACCTGTGACACTGAGACCTCCGACCAGATGGCTGCTTGCCTCTACTCGATATCCCAAGGGTCCATTGCCCAAAAGGAGATAGGCCATGGGTATGTGTCAGAAAAGGAGCCACCCAAGAACGGTTCTTGGTTTTCCTGTTGGTTTCTCTTTAACCCAACCTCAAAAAGCCACCAACCCGAAAAAAAACCAGAAGCAACAACATACGCCCTATAGGCATGGTTTGGGCTCGAGGTGCATTTGCCAAGCCTTCCATTGGGGCCGAGTGTGTAACGAACTGTGAATATTCCGAGATCGGTTGGAACTGTTTGTTGGTATATTTGTAGGGGTTAGAAGGGTAGAATAATTTCCCCCCAATATAACGAAATCGGTTGGAAAAATTTGGAGGCAACACCCTTCTTGGGGGCTTCTTATTTGTTTTCATGCAACAGGGAATGAACACGTGATAAGCCAACCATCTGTGAACATCCCCCTTACCCCACCCAATTGGCAAACACTCAAACTGAGGCGACCAATGAGCTCATGGTGCCAAGACTGTTGGCTCGCAACTTAGCAGGCCGCTTCGCTGAGAGCCTTCACTGAGCGCCCGAAAGCCTTCCGAGACCAGAAAAAAAACACCTGGAGTCTCCATACCCTGAAAAAACGGGTTATTACCCAAAAGAAAGGGGTCATGAACACAATTGTTAAGGAGCATGGAGACTGTAGGACGTTTATCACTGTTAGTGTCTGGTAGACGCAAATGTCAGCGGGCGTTTTCCGGCGCTCTGAAAAACTGGGCATGACCCTTTAGTCATACGCCCGACAAACAGATTTCCCCAGGGCCTATGGCACCTCCATTGTGTGATGAGCAACGCACGGCGTCTCGGCTCGGCTCAAGCGGGCTGTTCACAGGGCATTCCGGAATGCTTCCCTTGAGTTACGAAGGAGTTGATGAGCAGCCCACTTGGGTCACTTGAGTGTGTGTTCGATTTGTTCCAAGATAAGCAATGAGGGAACCATGTTTGTCAAGTTTGAGTTTGGGATTTTTGTTTGGGCTCGACTAGCTTCATTTATTATTGAAGTTGGTCTCGGGTGTTTTAGCCGAGAGGTTCTGGATCCTGTTGCCTCAGGTCCTGCTCAAGGAGTACGTGAGGCCGGGGATCCTGGAGTTCGGACTGTTGTCACTTTAGACATTACCACGCCAAAGTGAGCTATTTGCCGGAGTTGGGGAGGGGTTGGCGGATTTGTGCTGATCACTTTTCAGTTGTAACTCGGATAATGTCCTCAGTCAACTCCAGGCACAAGGCCCCTCACTCGAGTTTGATCAAACCACCGCGACCGAACTCACCCAAGGCTTCTGTCTTGGGCCTTGGCTTTCCGAGCCATTTCCCTTTTTCCCTTTTTGGAATCCTCCAAAAGTGGCTGTTGCAATTGAAACCAGCAAAATCGCACCTTTTGATTTGGGGAAATCCAGCGACCCCTGTTTTGATGCGCCTTATTCCAGGCTGATGGCTTATAGAGTCCAGCGTGTACGACATAATCCTTCGCAGCTGGTGAAGATTCATCTCAAGCACGCCGCAATGATACCCTTTCAACAATGGAAGTGGACAAAGCAGGCTTGCGGAAAGCGGCCAAAAACACATCCCTATCAAGCAAATGGAGGGACCTCCTTTCAACAAAAGTGGACAGGGGTCCTTGAGATGATCTCGTTCTCTTCCAAAGCCCTCCTGTTCGCTTTGGTTTTGATTTTGCGGGTTGCGTTGAAGTGAATTCTACTCCACTGGCAGATGAATCCAGCCAAAGTTTGGTCAAACATGGCTTCCACTGGCTTGAGCCAGTCGTTGACACGCGGAGCGCCAACGTCGCTTTCGCGCCCTCGCGTGCTTTTTTGGGGTACACACCACCCCTTTTGATTGGTTTTAAAGGAATACCGAGAGGAAAGCACTTTTTTTTGGTGAGTCCAACCTTGGAAAAGACAAACCGGCCTAAGATTTGAGATCTTTGAAAGGGGAAATCGGCGGAGGCACCGGCAGCTGTCGCTTCTGGAAGTTCAGCCTGCGCCTCGGGTTCGTCGAGCGATACGCGAAAAAGTCGATTAATGTAGGGTCCCCAGGGAAGCATTTTGAGTGTGTCTCACAATAGGGAACCACAGGGAAGCCCCGGGAAATAGGTGGTGTCCTTGTGATTTCCCGCTATAAAGAAACGAGAAAAATAGGAAAAAACAACAACTCCAAAAAGGGGCACTAAAGAAAGGCATATCCATGTGGGCCAAGTAAAACGTATCTTTGCCGACGTTTGAAGATCCCCGAAAGCAGGTTGGTTTGTCCATGCATCCGTATACCGAAGCGACGGAGATTTGCGCATCGCTTTTTGAATGGAACCCCAATGTGAACAAGGGAACCGTGCAATCTATGTTGGTTTGCGGCAGGCTTGCTTGGAATTGTTAAGGAATCGAAGATTTGCCCCCCTCACCACTTTTTTTCGCTTGG